ATTTAACTCGTCAATCGCGACTGTTCGATTCACAAAGCCCATATTTGTGACATGACCAGCGTGTATTCCTCCGCTTCCAACAGCGGCCTCGTTTAGCTTTCAATAATATTTTTAAGGTTTTTTTACATAATCATATCCAAATGTATCATAAAGAATTTTAGTGACCTCAATTTTTGTTATTGCTTTTGTTCATATGTTTTAAGATTTTGCAAACTCGGAACTACTTTTTACGTCGCAATTACAAAGGGGCTGTGAAACGTCCCTGCGTGTTAGGTAGTGAACCTTTACGTTTCAAGGTTTTAAATTACACAAACAAGTATGTAGTAACTAGGACATGCCATGTGCCTCGGAAAATATCATGTGACGAGAGGAAGGAGATATTTTCACTCGACACATGAAATATCCTCTTTTAATCCGTATGTCACACGTGTGTCGTACAAGGCTGATCTCCTTTCATTAGTTTTGAATTCATAACCGTGACTTCCGTCATATAGGAACGTTTTTCATTCATAAAAAAATCACGTGACGTCATTCATTTTACAAAACGTTTTACAACCCCGAGGCAGAACTGAGGGAATTTCATTAAAGCGAGAGACATTTAAACCAAGCAAGACAGTCACACGCTTCAAATTAGCTTTGCATTCTATAAAAGTTATGCATATAGAGCTGCTACATTTGCAATGTAAGATTCGTTTGTTGTTTAACGCCGCACTCATGCAGCAATATTCGAGCTATATGACTGCGGTCTGTAAATAATCGAGTCTGGAACAGACAATCCAGTGGGCGACATCATGATCGTTCCACACATTTTAGGTATGATGACATGCATCGACCAAGTCAGCGAGTCTGACCACCCGATCCCGTTAGCTGAAGACCTATTCTACCCCGGATCTTCACGGGTCCATTGTACATGAACAGTAGAGCCGGTGTGAAGCGGGACTATGTGGAGAACGATGTTATTCACCATGTTGAAGGTAATAATTACTTAGTAGATTTTTTACACAATTTGAGGTGGAAAGTTATTCATGTGATAAATTACTAAATAACTTTGGAACAACTTTTTTGAAATTGTGTTCAATTCAGAACATACATATTGTGAAAGGAAGATTTGGAACTGACTATCAAATCGGTGACTGTACATTTATTGGGCATTTAGTGAGTGAGTGAGTTGGGTTTAACGCCGCTTTTAACAGTATTCTAGTTATATCCTGGCGTGTCAGCTTAATGTTGTAGGAAAGCCCGAAGTGATGCAGGCCTCAAACGTTAACCTCTTCGGTGAAACCCACGAGCACGGGTATGGTCCTGACAAACCAAGAAACATAATCGGGGCGAACCGGGATTCGAACCCAGAATCATAGGTTTCTGGCGTGCCCAAGGGACGCAACTCTGCACAGCGAATCACGGCGCCTTAGACGACTGGGCCACCCGTGCCCCCTATTTGGGCATTTAGTGTGTAGTGTGATAGTTTTATGGTTTAGCATCGAGTGACATGTTCCCCGATGATGATGAATGTCTCTGTAAAAAACATGAACGGTGCCATTATTTAAATGCGTTCAGAAGAAACCAAAGATAACTAATACCTTATTTAGTATAACAAAGTTTGCAATGATTACAGATAACTGTGTGGAATCAAGAAGGACCAGTTTGCACAATGTAAAAGGAGTGACCTAGAAAATGCAGCAGCGGTACACTCTAAACTTCTGGGACATCACAAAGCGTGTGTCTGGACGACCGCAACGACCCAACCCTATTGATATACAAGATTTGGGGTGTGTGGGGGGTGGAGCTATTTCTCGCCGCTGAATTCTGAACCAATGGGTATTCATTCAGGATAATCTTAGTGAGGTGGACATGTCAAGGTTATGTGCAAGAGCTAACAATTGACCAGTCAAAAGATCACCAGATCAAAACATTTTTACATGCCAAGAAACATAAAAATCAGCTGACCTTGGCGACACCTATAGAAGCCATTGTACACACATGGCTTGAGTGCTAGAATGGGTAAAATGTTACAATCCATGTACAGTAATGTAAAGGCTTGTGTTCCTTCAAACAACAGAGTATCTGGTATATTTGTTGCTTCATGGGTTTGAGGAAGGGGTGTATGCTTTGTCCCTTTTTGTTTCAGTTTTTTTTATAGAAACGAATTGGTTACTGAAATGGAACAAAATTGTCGTTTTGGTGTTAAGTAATATCCGGAATGTATTTATATTTTTTCTCCTTCTATTTGCGGAAAACCTTATTGTGTTTGGCAATACTGTCAACAACATACATATTAAGTTGAATATCTTGCATGATGACTGTTGTAAATGGGAAAAGCCAGTCAATCTATCGAAAACAAAAATAGCTGTTTTTCAAAAATAGGGGAGGTTTATGACGTTATGAAAAAAATGGTATTATGGTGGAAATGCATATGAAGTAGTTACTGGATACAGTTATCTTGGCATGTTTTGTAGCAATAGATTACTGAGGTCGATTGCTTAAATAATTTGCAATTCGGGCATGAAAGGTGTTCATGGTCGTGTTAATTAGTTTACATTCCTTGAAACCATACTCACCTCACTTTTACTTCAAATGTTTTGATTCAAAGATAACACCAATACTTTTATACGGGGCTGAAATTTGGGGGTTCAGTGACATAGAACCGAGTCTGGTAGATGTTCTATTCAGTCGCTCGCTGTTTTAAAATGTGTCAAATATTGGCTGTCTCTTTATAATATGCAGGAATCTCGTTTACCCCAAAAATGTTACAATGTGTTGCGGTTGTACGATGAACAAGGCCACGTAAATTGGGTAACGAAACTTAAAACTGTTATTTTCAGATTAGGATTTGGTGATGTCTGGTGCTTTCAAACATGTGGTAATAAAACCGCATTTTTAAATATGTTAGATCAGCGGTTAAAACTTTTTTCAGGTTTGGCAATGTGATCTATGCGAAAGCCCTCAAATTGCTTATTATACACAGTTTAAACCACCCATTTCATGTGAGAACTATTTGAGAAGTATAACTGTAAATAAATTCAGGACCACATTGACTCGTTTTCGGCTCATGCAGTTCTCACAATTGAGTGAGTGAGTGAGTATAGTTTTACGCCGATTTTAGCAATATTCCAGCAATATCACGGCGGGGGACACCAGAAATGGGCTTATCACATTGTACCCATGTCGGGAATCGAACCCGGGTTTTCGGCGTGACGAGCGAACGCTTTAACCACTAGGCTACCCGACCGCCCAGTTCTCACAATTGAACGTGGACGACATTTCAATATTCCTCGTGAATTTAGAAAATGTAAAGTTTGTAGCCTAAACCATATCGAAAATGAATATCACTTTCTGTAAATGTTTCTATGTTATAGCCATCTGAGGCAAAGTTCTAGCTTAATTTGTATCCATACACGCAAGATGTCAGAAAGGCTTATATGACGTATTGCCGTCCGTCTTTGTACGGCGTGCGTCATCCGTCATGAGAAATCTATTCACAATCCATGTCTTTCTACAGGATAGGCTAAACTGCTATAGAAAAGGCATAGACTTCATATCCGAAAAATATAAACTTAAGTGGCTATATTTGACTCGGGACGGTACTTGGGAAACCTACGGTTTTTTTAACCAAACATCATTGCATTGGAATTCCTGTGATATGATTCTGGTGTATGCTCAACTGTCATATCCGTAATACTGCAACAAAATTTCCATTGTTTTATGCCTAAAACTCTGTTAATGGACCATTCTAACAACCCACCATCATCTACAACTTGGTCTGATCTGCTTGGGCTGAATCCTCCTGTCCGTCGTTACGGTATTACGATAGTAGTGAGGTTACTTTGCAGAGTATCGAAAAATAACCTTTGTAAAACAGTAAGTTTGATAAAATACGGTTAAAAGGATTAGGGGTCATAAACCCTTTTATGGAGCCTGAATATAACAACCAGGTGGTCGTTGTAGAGAGGGTATCTAAAAATGAAAAAAATCATTTGTCATCTAGACAAAGTAACAATCTATTAAATCTGCGAAGTTTCATGAAAGATCGAAAAGTATTATTTCATAGTGATAAGCCTTATTGTAAATTTTTTTTTATCTATCACTTCAACCCTTAATGTAAAAAAATTACATTAAGAATATTTTTTACATAAAGAGTTGTAACAAGGGTGAACCCGCAACCCTTAATGTAAAATATTTTTATATTAAGGGTTGTAACAAGAGTAAACCCGTAACCCTTTATGTAAAATATTTTTACATTAAGAGTATTTTTTACATGAATGGTTGTAACAACGCCTATTCCATCTCGTATATTTCAAACTAAGCTGCGATACATACATATCCTTCTATTCATCATACATTTTAGAATCAAATGACAAATGGTCGTTCAGGTATGAGGCAGTATTTTGTTCGCTCACAGTTTCCGAAAAGCTGCTAAATAAAAAAAAATCTTCACGCAGTACTTTTTTCGATGTACGATAAACAGCAAAGAAAATTGCTGTTTTACAACTCGGACAACACTTAGCGGTGTCTTTTGTCAAACCGGTTTAATTTTTTCAGTTACATTTACACCATCAGATAAAAAATCTAATGTTCTACATTTCTGCGTAATTTATAGACGGAGACAGATCCAGTCCCGCGCGCAGTGCAATTGTCGCACAACGTTATCTTTTCAGATCGTATGAAAATGTGCGTCAGAAATATAACTCGACATCCAACGGATTATTTAAAACTCAACCCAGCCACTCCATAGAAACATTGTAACCATGTCAAAGGGTATCGTGTCAACACCTGTCTCGATTAACGCGACATCGTCGCTTTCCAATCTACACCGCCGAAATAACGTGGATATATTGCTGGTGCGTCGTGATGTGATTCCTACAGCATTTAAGTTCATTCTGCACGTGCAAATACAGCTTAGATACACATCACAGAGATCAACTGTCTGCGTCATAAAAGGTCACTAAAAGGAAAATGACATCAGCTATTTCAGCAATTATTTTCGGTCCGGTGACATCTATAAGCAATTCTTATTTGCCCAAGGGTTAATCTGTTGAATCTTCTATATATAGACTAAAGACACCGCCGCAAGGGGCCCAACGGCACCCATATCCATGGGATTCCCATTATTTACCGGTGTGTCACGTGATATGTGTTTACGTTTTGTCTGCACGTGATTTACGGCGGAAGTGTCTATCGTTGTGATTTGAGCTGATAACTGTCCTGGGGTATCGCTCGCATAACTGCAGCTGGTTTATTTGATGATACACTGTTATTGTTCAACTTTGTGTTGTTAATGTAAAGAGCGCGCGACACCTGTTGATCGTCACAATACACACGGACCCGTTGTTACAAGTTAATTGAACGATCACCTGTCACCCACGGGCTTCATCTAGGACAGGTTGATTGACAAGGGATGTCGCCTCGGCTATCTCGTGAGTACCACTTAACAAATGTATACCTGCTTGTCCGAGAGCCAGTGGTCATTGTTTTTCAGCAGTGACCATTAATAATTGTATCAGGGTCAGATTTTAGATTAAATTTGAAAATGAATAATTCAGCAGTTGGTTTAACGGTACTAAGAGTTAGGACGGGGAATACGCATAGTCAGTGTCTACTCCTCACGAGGACTCGGGTCATTTCCCGACTGTTCTGCCTTACGTCATCCAGAGATAACAACAAACATGAACGCTTTTGATTATTGCGTTAGGTTTGTAATGTTTGTAATAATTTTATTATAGTTTGTATAACTTTGTAAAATATAATTTTATTATAGTTTGTATATCCTTGTAAAATATACACTGTACAATGAATGATGATTATCTCCTTTATTGCGTGTGGCATGGTGTTTATAGCCTGGGCCTCGTTCCTCAAAGCAATCTTAGCGCTACAATGATCTTAAGCCTATGTTAAAGTATGGGACTTTCGATCACCTTAGCGCTAAAATTGCCTTGAGGAACGGGGCCCAGGTGTTTATGGTCTGATGTGTTTGTTATGTATGTCAATGTGTAAAAGACCCGTGAAGATCCAGGGTAGAATAGGTCTTCAGCAACTTATGCTTGTTGTAAGAGGCGACTAACAGGATCGGATGGTCAGGCTCCCTGAATTTTGATGCATGTCATCTTATCCCAATTACGTTGATCGATGCTCATGATGTCAGTCACTGGATCGTCTGGTCTAGACTCGATTATTTACAGACCACCGTCATATAGCTGGAATATTACTGAGTGCAGCGTTAAACAAAAAACAAAAAAACTATGTGTAAAATCAGTCAATGTGCAAAATGACTGCAATCTTGATTCATATATATACATTTATATACAGAAGGTATCCAGGTACTAGTATCTGCTCAAATGCAGTTTTATTTGTTCCCTGACAAGTGGACCCGTTCCACATTCGAGTTATCAATCTCAACTCCTGGGGAGTATACAACCCAAGCTAGGGCGCAAGAGCGTTTTAACATCCACCTCACATATCAGGTACCCATTCCCTGCTGGGTGAACAGAGGCACATTTGAACTTAGTCACTTGCCCAGGGTGACACCACTTTTGACACTTGTATTTTAGGTGTATGTACGTATTCGTGTTTCCACCAATTGGTCATCTACCATCGGATAACAAGGCTGAATAACAACCCGGTCACTTTCAATTTACAAAATGGCAAAATATTTCAGTCATTTTGTCGATGTATTTAATTGTGATAACAAATTCCAAACATTTCGATGTTGAATTTCATCACCCAGTGACTGAAAATAATTGGATTAAAACAAAAGTCTAGGTGGGGGGGGGGGTGGGGGTGGGGGGGGGGGGGGGGAGGGGAGCTTCTAATCCTGGCATAATTAGTCTATTTTGGTGTTTTAAAGCCCTCTTGAAGTTCTTTATAATTTGTAGTCAATCTGACAGATTTTTCAGTCAATTTGTAAAATGACTGAAATATTTAGGCATTTTGTCATTTGCCTGAGTGAATCACATTTACACACTGACAGATTGTACACTGATTTGACTGTAACATATATATGTCAGTCAGTGAAATAGTTTTCATTATGTTTGATATGCCAGCCTGGTCATTTTGGATATGGTAACCCTTTTTCTGGTAACCATGGTAATGCTTTGAAAATCCCGACTTTCTGGAGGTTTCTGCTGTCATCTTTCGTCAGTTTTGTCTCATTACTTAAAGATAAACACAAGGCCCAAAGACATTTATGACATTTTGTCAAGCTGCGGAAGAACCTGTCAAGAGCTGAATTTGTGTTTTTGATATTCAAATGCTTTCAAGTTGACTGTGTTCCAGCAAGGCATGGCGTCTTCCTATACATGACATCCTGACCTTGTCAGCTGTCTCTCAGTCATGTGGTCAATGGTTCAAATGCAATCTTGGTGCTCTGGCATCTTATGGCCCCTACATGTGGTGTCATTAATTACCCCTGTGTATTACCACCAGAAAAGATGTAGATGAAGGTGTGGATGGATTACCTCCATGAAAGGTGCGGATGGATTACCTCCAAGAAAGGTGCGGATGGATTACCTCCAAGAAAGGTGCAGATGGATTACCTCCATGAAAGGTGTGGATGGATTACCTCCATGAAAGGTGTGGATGGATTATCTCCAGTAAAGGTGCGGATGGATTACCTCCAGTAAAGGTGTGGATGGATTACTTCCATGAAAGGTGTGGATGGATTACCTCCATGAAAGGTGCGGATGGATTACCTCCAAGAAAGGTGCGGATGGATTACCTCCAAGAAAGGTGCAGATGGATTACCTCCATGAAAGGTGTGGATGGATTACCTCCATGAAAGGTGTGGATGGATTACCTCCATGAAAGGTGTGGATGGATTATCTCCAGTAAAGGTGCGGATGGATTACCTCCAGTAAAGGTGTGGATGGATTACTTCCATGAAAGGTGCAGATGGATTACCTCCATGAAAGGTGTGGATGGATTACCTCCATGAAAGGTGTGGATGGATTACCTCCATGAAAGGTGTGGATGGATTACCTCCATGAAAGGTGTGGATGGATTACCTCCATGAAAGGTGCAGATGGATTACCTCCATGAAAGGTGTGGATGGATTACCTCCATGAAAGGTGCAGATGGATTACCTCCATGAAAGGTGCGGATGGATTACCTCCAGTAAAGGTGTGGATGGATTACTTCCATGAAAGGTGTGGATGGATTACCTCCATGAAAGGTGTGGATGGATTATCTCCAGTAAAGGTGCGGATGGATTACCTCCAGTAAAGGTGTGGATGGATTACTTCCATGAAAGGTGCAGATGGATTACCTCCATGAAAGGTGTGGATGGATTACCTCCATGAAAGGTGTGGATGGATTACCTCCATGAAAGGTGTGGATGGATTACCTCCATGAAAGGTGCAGATGGATTACCTCCATGAAAGGTGTGGATGGATTACCTCCATGAAAGGTGCAGATGGATTACCTCCATGAAAGGTGCGGATGGATTACCTCCAGTAAAGGTGTGGATGGATTACTTCCATGAAAGGTGTGGATGGATTACCTCCATGAAAGGTGCGGATGGATTACTTCCATGAAAGGTGTGGATGGATTACCTCCAGTAAAGGTGTGGATGGATTACCTCCAGTAAAGGTGCGGATGGATTACCTCCAGTAAAGGTGCGGATGGATTACCTCCAGTAAAAGTGCGGATAGATTACCACCATGAAAGGTGCGGATGGATTACCTCCATGAAAGGTGCGGATGGATAACCTCCATGAAAGGTGCAGATGGATTACCTCCATGAAAGGTGCGGATGGATAACCTCCATGAAAGGTGTGGATGGATTACCTCCATGAAAGGTGCAGATGGATTACCTCCATGAAAGGTGCGGATAGATTACCTCCATGAAAGGTGCAGATGGATTACCTCCATGAAAGGTGCGGATAGATTACCTCCATGAAAGGTGCGGATGGATTACCTCCAAGAAAGGTGCGGATGGATTACCTCCATGAAAGGTGCGGATGGATTACCTCCAAGAAAGGTGCGGATGGATTACCTCCATGAAAGATGTGGATGGATTATCTCCAGTAAAGGTGTGGATGGATTAGCACCAGTATAGGTGTGGATGGATTATCTCCATGAAAGGTGTTGATTGATTACCACCATGAAAGGTGCAGATGGATCACCTCCATGAAAGGTGAGGATGGATTATCTCCATGAAAGGTGAGGATGGATTATCTCCATGAAAGGTGTGGATGGATTACCACCATGAAAGGTGCAGATGGATCACCTCAATGAAAGGTATCAATGGATTACCACGCTGAAAGGTGTGGATGGATTATCTCCATGAAAGGTGTGGATGGATTACCACCATGAAAGGTGCAGATGGATCACCTCAATGAAAGGTATCAATGGATTACCACCCTGAAAGGTGCGGATGGATTACCTTCAAGAAAGGTATCAATTAATGGATTACCACGCTGAAAGGTGCGGATGGATTACCTTCAGGAAAGGTATCAATGGATTACCTCCATGAAAGGTGCGGATGGATTACCTTCAGGAAAGGTATCAATGGATTACCACCATGAAAGGTGTGGATGGAATACCTCAATGAAAGGTATCAATGGATTACCACCCTGAAAGGTGCGGATGGATTACCTTCAGGAAAGGTATCAATGGATTACCTCCAGGAAAGGAATGGATGGATTACTTCCATGAAAGTGTGGATGAATTAGCACCAGTAAAGGTGTGGATGGATTACCTCCATGAAAGGTATCGATGGATTACCTCCATGAAAGGTGCGGATGGATTACCTTCAGGAAAGGTATCAATGGATTACCACCATGAAAGGTGTGGATGGAATACCTCAATGAAAGGTATCAATGGATTACCACCCTGAAAGGTGCGGATGGATTACCTTCAGGAAAGGTATCAATGGATTACCTCCAGGAAAGGAATGGATGGATTACTTCCATGAAAGTGTGGATGAATTAGCACCAGTAAAGGTGTGGATGGATTACCTCCATGAAAGGTATCGATGGCTTATCGATGGAAACCGTACAATATTTCTTCAACAAACTTTGAGTTTCCATGGCAACAAAATATATATACATAACTAGCTTATGTAATCATGACAAGTATTTAGCAATGCGGTGTAGAACGAAAGCTTTGCAAGTCTTGCTTAGTTTTCTTTAGGGCTGCCACACCTCATGTTAACTTACCAAGTTGCTGGCTACCTCCTTTCAATGCCTGTCATAATTTAGTGAAGTATTACGGTGTAATCAAACTGCTTGAGCATATAAAGCGCCATATTTTGTTTAAAGGTTGTTGTTGGTGATTTTATAAATTCGGATGGACCATCCACTCAAAACACTGGACTCAACCCATGCAGCTTCACTCAATATATATGCTAGCATCAAAGAGTTCGAATTTTATTTTGTTATGGTAGAATGGAGATAAGCATTCTGTGTTTTCAATGCAGAGCTAGGTTACCTGTAGATTTAACCAAGCTATGTTTAACATCTTAAACCTCATGCTGCACTTTCGGTTCCAAATTCCCTACATTGAAGACACATTATGGTTATCTCCTAATTCAATGGGCACTTTGAATTACCCCAAATATTGAATCCGCTACTAAGAGGGGGTGCGCATTATACATGGGTGCGCACTATACTCAAGAAAATACGGTATCAACAAATTCTTTGAATGAGGATGAATCAATATAATTTACTTGCCATCACATGATGAACCACATTTTCCTATCTGTCATTACATTTTCATAAAGGATCATTGCTTGCGACACCTAAATCACTCCGAACCGAAGATATTAACCACCTTAATTTTGTGTGAATTACTGTGAATTTTTATCACCCTGGCATATAATTCAGGGGATATAGTCAACGCCTCGTCTGTCTGTTATTATTTCATTTCCGGAGCACAACTCAAAAACCATTCAGTATTTTTCAACAAGAATTGGCACATATATCAAACCGATCCTGTAATGGTACCTTTTGCTACTTATGGATATAAGACATTTCTATTTTTCTCTATTTCCATTGAAACAAATTGTACTTAGTTTCAGTAGGGGGTGGATTTTATTTCTGGAAGCACACCTCAAAACCTGTCTAATGTCTTTCATCAAAACTTGGCTGTATACTGTAAATCTTGAAATTAACGTGAGCGGGAATTAAATGCGAGTGGTCTTTATTTGCATTAATGAAACTTCTCATTTATGTCTCTAAAATGACTATCAACAATGACGGCCTCACTGTGGATAGTGGCAATACCAGCTTGAATATATACACAAACACGGTTTTTTGAGCAGCAGTTGTAACAAGTCCATAACTATACCATTAGAAGAATAGGAATTACGCAGTTGGCATACCCACTCATGTCAAACTAGGCATCACTGACCACTCCAATCAGTGAACTGTTGTTGGTCCAATTATTTAATTGACTTTGAATTTCCTTAATGCCAGTCAACAGAATAAACATATAAACTGTGTGTCGTTTCTGGAGCAGAACTAAAAAACTATACAACGTTTTTCATCCAAACTTGGTACATGCATTAATCGGGGGCTGAAGTGGTGCCTTTTGCTGTTTAGGAATTTTACACCAAAAAATTGTTTCCTGTTTCCATGGCAACAATTTTGACTTTCACTTTCATAGTGGTGTGTTTGTCCAGACCGTATCTCTAAAAGTGATAGGAATTCTTTCATGAAATTGTGCACACACAAAGACCTAGTTGTCAACTGGGGCCTTTTGGTATTTAGGGATTTTCAGAATTTATATTGTTTCCATTTCCCTGGCAACAAGTTTGACTTTGACTATGTTCATATTGACATAAAAATACAAAGTTCTGAATCCAAAATTCATGGTATTGTTTTGATAGGTTAATAACTTCTTTTGTATACAGACAGACAGATTAGGTAGACATTCCCTCATTACGTTGGACTTAAAGTAACAGTCAGATGATTTGTTCTTTCGAATTTGTCGGGTCGGGGGGATTTGTCATCTTCTGATGATTCTTGTTTTTTCTGTGCCAGAGGAGTGAAAGAAGAGACCATTGCATATTCTTTGTTTAAGACTTCCCTTTGAGTTTTTGGGTGGTGGGGTCGCCTACTGGTTAAAGCGTTCGCTCGTCACACCGAAGGCCCGGGTTTGATTCCCCACAATGTGTGAAGCCCATTTCTGGTGCCCGCTATCGTGATATTGCTGGAATATTGCGAAAAGCAGTGTAAAATCCATCTCACTCACTCACTCTTTGAGTTTTGAGCTGATTCTTAATTTCTAACAAATCAGAAAATATTCCATGTCTTTTAGTGGATGGAACAGACATAGGGCGGGGGTCCTCCAGCATGGAAATCGGCATGGCCTTGCCAGGCTCTGCTTTAGGCATCAGCATCTGTGTCAATAATCTACATTCATATGTTAGTTATTAGTACGTAAAATCCTCAAGAATTTGATGTCTTCGGGGCCATCAAGTTATCTGCAGTTGTAGTTTCTGTGAAGAAATATGCTGTCAGTGAGAATTAATCTGATGTCTTTTGCCCTATGGTATATATATATATTTAAATTTGTCGTCTTAAATTCGATGAGAAATATTTTGACTGAACAATTGTAAGGCATATGAAATTCAATTGCAATGGACAAAGCAAATAAAACGGCTTAATTTCTCATGGATTTCCTCATGTCAAAAATATAACTGCCAATGAAAAGTGCTTAATATTTTTACAATTGATGACTTGAAATGCATATTTAATTATTGCTCAAGATGTAAATGTTCAATAGCTACTATATATAAAATGGGATCATTTTAGTGGTTTGTGTTTTAAATATTATTATTCAAAACAATTCCTTCAATATGTTTGGTAGATATAGTTGGAGATATTGTGTGAATTATGAAGTAAGTAAACACATGACCAAACCATATTGAAACATATTTCAAGAGCAGAACGAAATTAATCTCAACCCGTAAAGATTCCGGGTTAGACAACCCATGCTTGTCGTAACAAGTGAGTAATGGGATAGGGTGGTGGTCAGACTCGCCGATTTGTTTGATGCATGTCATTGTATCCCAATTGAAAAGATTGATATCAGTCACTTGATGTCTGGTCCAGACTCAATTATTTACAGACCGCCATCATATAGCTGGAATATTGCTGAGTGCGGCGTTATAACAACAAACAAACAAAAATCACATTATCAAGTTATTTTCAGCCTTTTGTGACCTGGGTCCACAGATGACTCGCTCAGAAGAAAAAGCACTTTAAGCAAATACGCGGCGGCCAAAACATGTGGTACAAGTCATATCTATCCGGTTACAGAGATATGCAGCGTTAAACAAACAAACAAAAAAGAAATAAGCCCCGAAGTAATTATGTTTTCTTTTTCAGTCTTCAAGCACACCAAGTTTCAACATTTTCCTATGAAGACCGGAGTCTGAGCATATTCCGCCAGAGCCTGATGGCTTCCTCGGATGACTGTGACAGCGGACGTTGCTCCCCGAGTACAGGGCCGGATGGGTATGAGTTTGTGGATAGCATCAACACCATCAACGACATTAAGGAAGCAGACCGCATCTTGCGCATCCTTCAGGATACATATGACCCCCAACTCTTGAAGAAGTCATTGTTGAGGCTACAGAGACTCTTCAAAAATGGTAAGGAGCTGGAGGATAGTGGTGAAAGGTTCAGTTGTCAAAACATTGAGTTGGATCCTCATATTATGGTATATAGTTAGTGTGCCTGGCCTGGCCTGGCCTCACCTCACCTCACCTCACCTCACCTCACCTCACCCTGATGTTTCTATCTACACCAACCTGTGCATGTGGGTTTCACCAAAGTGGTAAACCATTAAGACCTGCATCACTTCAGGCTTTTCTCCCATGTTAAGCTGACACGCCGTGATATAACAACAATACTGTTCAGAGTGATGTTGTTAAACCTAATTCACTCTCACTCACTCACTCGCTCACTCGCTCGCTCGCCCACTCACCCACCCACTCACTCACTCACTCACTCACTCTATCTGTTCAGTGACGGTCAAGAAGTTCCTGGAGGACAACCGCCCGCCCGCCCTCCTGCCCCATACCCACTCACCCACCCACTCACCCACTCACCCAACCACTCACTCACTCACTCTATCTGTTCAGTGACGGTCTAGAAGTTCCTGGAGGACAACCGCCCGTCCGCCCGCCTGCTCCATTACCACTCACTCACTCACTCACTCACTCACTCACTCACTCACTCACTCTATCTGTTCAGTGACGGTCAAGAAGTTCCTGGAGGACAACCGCCCGCCTGCCCGCCCGCCTGCCCCATACCCACTCACTCACTCACTCACGCACTCACCCACTCACCCACTCACTCACTCACTCACTCACTCACTCACTCACTCACTCACTCTATCTGTTCAGTGAGGGTCAAGAAGTTCCTGGAGGACAACCGCCCGCCCGCCCTCCTGCCCCATACCCACTCACCCACCCACTCACCCACTCACCCACTCACCCACTCACCCACTCACCCACTCACCCAACCACTCACTCACTCACTCTATCTGTTCAGTGACGGTCAAGAAGTTCCTGGAGGACGACCGCCCGCCTGCCCCATTACCACTCACCCACCCACTCACCCACTCACTCACTCACTCACTCACTCACTCACTCACTCACTCACTCACTCTATCTGTTCAGTGAGGGTCAAGAAGTTCCTGGAGGACAACCGCCCGCCCGCCCGCCCGCCTGCCCAATACCCACTCACCCACCCACTCACCCTCCCACCCACCCACCCACTCACTCACTCACTCACTAACTCACTCACTCACTCACTCACTCTATCTGTTCAGTGACGGTCAAGAAGTTCCTGGAGGACAACCGCCCGCCCGCCCGCCCGCCTGCCCAATACCCACTCAACCACCCACTCACCCTCCCACCCACCCACCCACTCACCCACCCACCCACTCACTCACCCACCCACCCACTCACTCACTCACTCACTCACTCACTCACTCACCCACTCACTCACTCACTCACTCACTCACTCACTCACTCACTCACTCACTCACACCCACCCACCCACCCACCCACTCACTCACTCACTCCCTCACTCACTCACTCACTCACTCACTCACTCACTCACTCACTCACTCACTCACTCACTCACTCACTCACTCACTCTATCTGTTCAGTGACGGTCAAGAAGTTCCTGGAGGACAACCAGATCCACCTGGGGGTGCTGGATGTGATGAAGCACCTGGGCTCCTTCCCCGACATCCAGCAGGTAAGACGCTCACTCCCACTTTTTTACTGATGGAAAAAACAATTTCAGATCCATTGGACAACTTCTTTACCTGAAATATTTGGAGCAAAATGAGTAGCTGGAGATGAAATTAGTTTTCTTCATGACAACATTATCTTAAAATAAGTTTCAGAAGTGTAAAACTTCTCAGTTAATGTACGCATCTGAGATAAGTTTTGCTCAGAGAAGCCAAACAACTATGCTGCAACTGTGTGTAGACCACTAATATCAAGTTGTAACATTTTAGGGACTATATACGCTACAATCTCGTGTCCATTTGAGGTCTAGACATTGAAATTAGAGACTTAAAGCATAACTGAGACAGTGTCTGTATTTAGGTTAACCGTCAACTGCTAGATTAATATATATCACAAAATTTAAGTTCAAAGTGAAACTTACATCAAAACTGCTAAGCCTTATAAGGCTCCCATTAAAATTGCTGTGTGAAAAAGAGCTCATAATTATAGCATTTCTTTTTATGGATGGTAATGAGTGAGAGAGTGAGTATGTCTTTACGCCGCTATTAGCATTATTCCAGCAAAATCACGGCGGGACACCAGAAATAGGGATGGTCACTACAAGGGATGTGGTAGATAAAAAATTTCCAGGCATAAAGTTTGTCATACAAATATGTCTGTACTAGACAATGTTGACAAAATATTAATTTTTCATAGACGTTCCTTCAGAAGTAAACATACCTGCATCATCCTTCTTTGAATACTGGCCTAACTATAAGTGACTGATCTTTGTCATTTGCTAGCTGAAGTTTGATAAAATCATGACAAACATATTTTGTGTCATTGTGCCGAAATTACATTACCAATATTGGTAATCAATGAGGCATTGTGAGATAATGATAATTATAGATAATGTGACCTTACATGCAAATTGATCAGAAAATGAGGCTCCAATCTTTTTCCAATAACTCACAAGGTCATTCTGGAAAATATGATTCTAATGAAATCAGCTCAAAGTGATGGATTTGAAATTAGAGTTTGATGTACCCTTTAAAGGTTGGTGGTGCCCCATTGTTGTTGTGAAATTGCCTGACATCCAATCGACATGACGTCATCCTTTACAGATTGGTCTTCAGCTGCTGTGTCAGTTCATAGATGAGAGCCTTGCCTTGGAGAAAAGTCTCAAGAATGAACATGTTCACAGGTGAGTGGTAGTCCACACTAATGTCAGTGGGTCTTGTTTCCTTGTTTCTTGAATCCCTGTTCTGAGATTGTACAGTTGATTATTGTTAAGTAAAACTAGCAACAACAGTTAAAGATCTACCTTTGGGTCCGGATGGTGGCCTTCTTTAATTATCATCATTTGAAAACCAGAAAATCTATTTGTTACATCAGTGCTGTAAGTTGTGCTGCTGATGTTGCTGAGGTGAGCAACATGGTCTACCTCTTTCGGATGTTACTGAGGTGAGCTACAGGGCCTATTTGTTGCCGATGTTGCCATGGTGAGCTACATGGCCTATTTGTTGCTGATGTTACTGAGGTGAGCTACAGGGCCTGTTTGTTGTCGATGTAACCGAGGTGAACTGCCGGGCCTGTTTGTTGCCGATGTAGCCGAGGTGAACTGCAGGGCCTGTTTGTTGCCGATGTAGCCGAGGTGAACTGCAGGGCCTGTTTGTTGCCGATGTAGCCGAGGTGAGCTACAGGGCCTGTTTGTTGCCGATGTAGCCGAGGTGAAGTGCAGGGCCTGTTTGTTACTGATGTTGCCATGGTGAGCTACATGGCCTATTTGTTGCTGATGTTACTGAGGTGAGCTACAGGGCCTGTTTGTTGCCGATGTAACCGAGGTGAACTGCAGGGCCTGTTTGTTGCCGATGTAGCCGAGGTGAACTGCAGGGCCTGTTTGTTGCTGATGTAGCCGAGGTGAACTGCAGGGCCTGTTTGTTGCCGATGTAGCCGAGGTGAACTGCAGGGCCTGTTTGTTGCCGATGTAGCCGAGGTGAACTGCAGGGCCTGTTTGTTGCCGATGTAGCCGAGGTGAAGTGCAGGGCCTGTTTGTTACTGATGTTACCGAGGTGAACTGTAGGGCCTATTTGTTACTGATGTTGCCATGGTGAGCTACAGGGCCTGTTTGTTGCCGATGTAGCCGAGGTGAAGTGCAGGGCCTGTTTGTTGTCGATGTAGCCGAGGTGAACTGCAGGGCCTGTTTGTTGCCGATGTAGCCGAGGTGAAGTGCAGGGCCTGTTTGTTGCCGATGTAGCCGAGGTGAACTGCAGGGCCTGTTTGTTGTCGATGTAGCCGAGGTGAACTGCAGGGCCTGTTTGTTGTCGATGTAGCCGAGGTGAACTGCAGGGCCTGTTTGTTGCCGATGTAGCCGAGGTGAACTGCAGGGCCTGTTTGTTGTCGATGTAGCCGAGGTGAGCTACAGGGCCTGTTTGTTGTCGATGTAGCCGAGGTGAACTGCAGGGCCTGTTTGTTGCCGATGTAGCCGAGGTGAACTGCAGGGCCTGTTTGTTGCCGATGTAGCCGAGGTGAAGTGCAGGGCCTGTTTGTTGTTGATGTAGCCGAGGTGAACTGCAGGGCCTGTTTGTTGCCGATGTAGCCGAGGTGAACTGCAGGGCCTGTTTGTTGCCGATGTAGCCGAGGTGAAGTGCAGGGCCTGTTTGTTGCCGATGTAGCCGAGGTGAACTGCAGGGCCTGTTTGTTGTCGATGTAGCCGAGGTGAAGTGCAGGGCCTGTTTGTTGTCGATGTAGCCGAGGTGAACTGCAGGGCCTGTTTGTTGTCGATGTAGCCAAGGTGAAGTGCAGGGCCTGTTTGTTGCCGATGTAGCCGAGGTGAAGTGCAGGGCCTATTTGTTACTGATGTTGCCACAGTGAGCTACATGGCCTATTTGTTGCTGATGTTACTGAGGTGAGCTACAGGGCCTGTTTGTTACTGATGTTGCCACAGTGAGCTACATGGCCTATTTGTTGCTGATGTTGCCACAGTGAGCTACATGGCCTATTTGTTGCTGATGTTACTGAGGTGAGCTACAGGGCCTGTTTGTTACTGATGTTGCCACAGTGAGCTACATGGCCTATTTGTTGCTGATGTTGCCACAGTGAGCTACATGGCCTATTTGTTGCCGGTGTAGCCGAGGTGAGCTACAGGGCCTGTTTCTTACTGATGTTGCCATGGTGAGCTACATGGCCTATTTGTTGCCGGTGTAGCCGAGGTGAGCTACAGGGCCTGTTTGTTACTGATGTTGCCATGGTGAGCTACAGGGCCTGTTTGTTACTGATGTTGCCACAGTGAGCTACATAGCCTATTTGTTGCTGATGTTACTAAGGTGAGCTACAGGGCCTGTTTGTTACTGATGTTGCCACAGTGAGCTACATAGCCTATTTGTTGCTGATGTTACTAAGGTGAGCTACAGGGCCTGTTTGTTACTGATGTTGCCACAGTGAGCTACATGGTCTATTTGTTGCTGATGGTTCCATGGTGTGCTACATGGTCTATATGTTGCTGATGTTGCCATGGTGAGCTACAGGGCCTGTTTGTTACTGATGTTGCCACAGTGAGCTACATGGTCTATATGTTGCTGATGGTTCCATGGTGTGCTAAATGGTCTATATGTTACTGATGTTGCCACAGTGAGCTACATGGTCTATTTGTTGCTGATGGTTCCATGGTGTGCTACATGGTCTATATGTTGCTGATGTTGCCATGGTGAGCTACAGGGCCTGTTTGTTACTGATGTTGCCACAGTGAGCTACATGGTCTATATGTTGCTGATGGTTCCATGGTGTGCTAAATGGTCTATATGTTACTGATGTTGCCACAGTGAGCTACATGGTCTATTTGTTGCTGATGGTTCCATGGTGTGCTACATGGTCTATATGTTGCTGATGTTGCCATGGTGAGCTACATGGTCTATATGTTGCTGATGTTGCCATGGTGAGCTACATGGTCTATTTGTTGCTGATGTTGCCGCAGTGAGCTACATGGTCTATATGTTGCTGATGTTGCCATGGTGAGCTACATGGTCTATATGTTGCTGATGTTGCCATGGTGAGCTACATGGTCTATTTGTTACTGATGTTGCCGCAGTGAGCTACATGGTCTATATGTTGCTGATGTTGCCGCAGTGAGCTACATGGTCTATTTGTTGCTGATGTTGCCGCAGTGAGCTACATGGTCTATATGTTGCTGATGTTGCCATGGTGAGCTACATGGTCTATTTGTTGCTGATGTTGCCGCAGTGAGCTACATGGTCTATATGTTGCTGATGTTGCCATGGTGAGCTACATGGTCTATATGTTGCTGATGTTGCCGCAGTGAGCTACATGGTCTATTTGTTGCTGATGTTGCCGCAGTGAGCTACATGGTCTATATGTTGCTGATGTTGCCGTGGTGAGCTACATGGTCTATTTGTTGCTGATGTTGCAGACACGTGCTGAAGGTGCTGAGTGAGAACATCTCCGACATCCCCATCCACCAGTGTGGGATGAAGCTGCTGGCCTGTCTCTTCGAATCAAGTCAGTTCGACTTTCTACACTTTCTGTCCATCAGGATTCATATGTTTAGCTCCACTAAGTCTAGCTACAATACATGCATGAGAATTCACTCCAACTAATGCAAGAGAACAAACAGATCTGGAACCAATGTCTTGAAAACAAATGTGTCCAAATTTTCATATTTTGTTTTGAAAGGATTAGTTGATCCCAATTAAGTTTTCATATTGATGTGTTCTCATGTTTCTTATATCAATGAATTGTTTTGGGAAAAGTTGTAGTTTTTATTACATCTATCCGTCACTTAACCAAGTCTGTTTCTCAAATGTTTTCAGAACATTGATATGATAAATCTTGAGACTGAGCATTTCTTTACCCTGTCATATGTTAGCAATCTGATATGAGTAGAGGAATATGTTTGAAACTGGTAACCATGTGTAGTTTGCGAAACATCTTGGTATGTTTCAACATTTATTGAGGGAATACATGGTTTCATAATTTAGTTTTTCTACATAGACCTGATTTTCATAATGTATCTCAGTTCGCCCCGATTATGTCCCAAGGATTGTCAGCGCCATACCGGGGCTTGGGGGTTTCACCGAAGTGGTAAACGTCTGAGACCTGCATCACTTGGGGCTGTCCTCCCACATTAAACTGACACGCCGTGATATAACTGGAACACTGTTCAAAGTGGCATTAAACCCAACTCACTCATAATGTACCTTCTTATCTGTCAAAGTATATTGCACTCATGCTGATTCTCTCCTGAAGGATACATCCGTGTTGACCTGACCTCCACCAACCTCCTCAATGACGTCATCGATTACCTTTTCCGTGCCATCTCCAACTTCCAGGAAGATGTCGAGATTCAAGTCCATGCCTTGACCTGCCTCCGCCATATTCTCCAAGAAGGTGTGTAGACCGGCAGGAGTTATTCCCTCTTTGTTGTCATGCTTGGTAATTGTTTGTTTAACCTACATAAGTTATCTATTGCGACTTTATAATGACAGGAATTTATTGAGGATTCTCGCACTATGTACACTTGACATTCAAAAATTAGGGAAAGAAATTGTTAAGTTGTTTAAAACTGGATATTACTTAGAGTTTTTGGTTTTTTAAAATTCAGAGATATTTTAACATTCCATTCAATAATTAAAATATCTTGCTTCTTAGTTATAACTATGAAAACATAATTTGGGAAATTTTGTATTCTTTATTTGGAACTGCCATTTGCTGCAGGTTTGGGGAGAACTTTTCCATCTGAGGCTTAAAAAAATAAAATAATTGGTTCTCAGGCAATAGCTTTTCAAAATATTGTGTGGATAGTGTTTTTTTTGGGGGGGGGGGTGGTGTATGTAACCAAATTTCTTTACAATAATTTCGTCGAAATCATGTTGTTCTTAAGTATTGTAGCATTTCACTGCTGGGGTCATGTGATCGAGATGCAGAAAATTTAAAGATATTATTTTGGGGGGGGGGGGGGGGGGGGGGAGGGAAATGGAAATAAAAACAAAATGTGCGGTGGACTTTACGATGATGCGGTTGGTGCCTTAGAAGACTTTTTTTAGCCTTAGCAGGTCCAGATAAAAACCTATGATGTCTGTAAGATGGATCGGGTGGCTGATGGTTGATTGCATGTCAATGTACTCCAACGAATCGGTGCTCACAATATCAATCACTGGATTGTCTGGTCCATATGCAAACGTTAACAGGCCAAAATCATATAACTGGAATATTTCTGTGGTGATAAACAAACAAACAAACCACTGATGGTCCCCAGGACCCCATTGCTTGTCTTAAGTGTCGACTAAATGCAATTGGGTGGTCAGACTCGGTGACTTTGCAGATAGTGTGTTATCGTACGCTGATGGTGTGGAGAATTGCTCATGTTTTCAGGCCGCTGGTTTACCTGACCCTGACAATATTATTTAGGTGCCAGTGATTCAGCTGGAATATGCAGACTGCAGTGCTTACCAACATTCAGTCCATCCATCACTCGCTCAGTATCATTAAGTTGGTTGGTTTGTTGTTTAACGCCGCACTCAGCAATATTCCAGCTATATGACGGCGGTTAGTAGTATCATTAAGCATCAAGCTGGTTATAAGGGTAATATCAGCCCAGTGCAAAACACAATACCAAACCGTTAGCCGAGGATATTTAGTGTTTATGTTATTCAGTATCTCAAGTAGGGTATAAGTAATTTATACTAGCTACAGATTGTTGGTCCAAAGTATGGCTATTATTCTTTGAACATAGATTTTTGGACAGTGTTGAACAATTTAAGTTTTGTCTTTGATTATAATAACAACAAAATTCATTATTGTTTTAAGATAAGCATCTGGCTGAGGTTTTCATTCGCAAATACCTGCCAGTCGTCATGGAAACCCTGCACCTGAATCAGGATGTGTCGAGTGTCGTGTGCAAGACTCTGGATGTATTTTACACTGTAGCTCAGGACCGTGAGTCACACCCATGTTAGAAGTGATTCTCCCCTCCGAGCAGCTGGTGCGTGCACATCTCACCCCTCTAGGAACATCACATGCACATCAATGCCATGCACTGTTGTTTGCCTTGGGTCTTGGGTCGAAGAATCAATGTCATCTTGCTTCTCAATGTGATAGGTGACATCAATGTGCAAAGTTGCATCCCTTGGGCTTGCTAGGATCCTATGATTGTTGGTTTGAATCCCAGATTCCCAGATTCATCTGATTTATGACCCAAAGTTTGTCAACTTTCTTACCTGTGGGTTTCACCAAAGAGGAAAACTTCTTTGATCTGCATCACGTCTGCATACTTCACATACTTTTAATTTTATAATTATATGAAATTATGTTTCTGGTGATCAGGCCAACAACCATTTCACTTAAGACCCAAAATGTTTTATTACAGATGGGATTGCGCATCAGAATTGGTCCTAGTACCCTGCGCTTGTTGTCACAATATGTGATCTGTCTGATGTCATCATACCCTGTGAGAGAGTGGATTGTTACTCATGCTATCAACCACTGTTTTTGTCGGGTCCAAACTCATGTTTTCACAGGTGGTCATTTCAACTGCAGCATTAAACAGCATTCTTTCCTTCACTTCATTGGCTAAAGAACATCACATTTTCATCAATAACTTAAAATAACTTAAAAAAATAAAATTTATTTGTAATTTGACCAAAAATGATCTGTCTTCAACTGCCTCATATCATAACAGTAGTTGGGGTTTTGGGGGATATATTTTTAAAAAAACATTAATTATTTTTATAAGTTATTTTAATATTTTTATGATTACATTTGTAAATATGCCTGTTACTGGTTACCTGACCATTTGGCTTGACACCAAATACATTTAATAGATCTGTTTCAAGTCAAGAAAGGACATCAGAGTGTATATCACACTAGAGTAAATTTTTTTTTTCTTTTTTTTTTTTCTTGGTCGCTGTGCCTGCAGTCAGGGGCGAAATAACAGAATGCAATTATTGTCCGGGTGGTTTTGAAGTTAATAACCAAACAGTTTGTAATAACAGTTTGAGAAAAAGTTCAAATGAATAGTTGCTGAAGTTATACTTATTTTCTAACACAGGATTTAACAGTTTATTACTTTCAACAACAGATTAAAGGCTTGCTAGAAGAATACATTTTTTTTGTTTTATTTGACATGGCTTCTGAATTGTGTAAAAGGATGTCAAAATTCTCATTTCCAATCTTCGTAAGTTTCGTACATATCTGAACACCTACTGTCAGTATAGTTGTACTTAGGTTGGCAAGGACATGTATAATTTATCGGATCATGACACCAAGTTTATCAGATTTGTTTATTGCATGGATGACACTGTCCATTACACATTTATATGCACATTTATCTTCCCATTTGATAGGTAAATTAAATTGCGTGTTCTGATCAATGTTAATTATGTTTTTGCTGACAGTCACTTGCGTTTTTTTACCTTGTGGTGTGGTGTGGTGTGGTGTGGTGTGGTGTGGTGTGGTGTGGTGTGGTGTGGTGTGGTGTATTTATTGACTTGCCATTGTAACAGTATGTTTACTACTAGTGTTAATCCCATGCTTTGAATAAATGCATATAAAATGATAACCTATCCATTAAGTTATGATTATGAGTAAAGGATGAAGCAAAGAAAATTAAATGCCGGTTGTAAGAATCTAGAGTGCTTTCAGCCAACGTAGCATCACATTTAAGTGTGTCATTTGTTAATTCCCTTTGCCCTGAACACACTGCCACCTGTGATGTCACGCATTGTTTGTCGGCACAGAATATGTCCATGAATCGTGATTCTGCTACATGTTGGTGTACTTCGTGCTCACTCTGTGTGTTTCCATCGTTCAATGTGAAGAATGAGATTGCTGGCACCCACAATCCTCGAAAGCTTCTCCAGCAAGTGCAGCCCTTCAAAATATGGTTTTGACAATGTTAGCAACAGTGTGTTATAAGGATATCAATGTTAGGTTGCTGAATAGCGAGAAGAATTACTGTCACAAGTTCTGTATCTTACTTCATGCACAGTCAAACTCCACATTCTACATGTAATGAATATGCAAAAATTATAAGCAATGTTTACAGGATATAGACACATCATTTGGTTGCAGATCTTTAAACAGAGCCATCTGGACTATCACACTTGTTTCCTTGTACATATTGACAGTCCTCCTGTCCTGTATGTAACACAGTCCTCCTGTCCTGTATGTAACACAGTCCTCCTGTCCTGTATGTGACACAGTCCTCCTGTCCTGTATGTAACACAGTCCTCCTGTCCTGTATGTGACACAGTCCTCCTGTCCTGTATGTAACACAGTCCTCCTGTCCTGTAAATGACACAGTCCTCCTGTCCTGTATGTGACACAGTCCTCCTGTCCTGTATGTAACAGTCCTCCTGTCCTGTATGTAACACAGTCCTCCTGTCCTGTATATAACACAGTCCCCCTGTCCTGTATGTGACACAGTCCTCCTGTCCTGTATGTGACACAGTCCTCATGTCCTGTATGTAACACAGTCCTCCTGTCCTGTATGTAACACAGTCCTCCTGTCCTGTATGTAACACAGTCCTCCTGTCCTGTATGTGACACACTACTCCTGTCCTGTATGTAACACAGTCCTCCTGTCCTGTATGTGACACAGTCCTCCTGTCCTGTATGTAACACAGTCCTCCTGTCCTGTATGTGACACAGTCCTCCTGTCCTGTATGTAACACAGTCCTCCTGTCCTGTAAATGACAGTCCTCATGTCCTGTATGTGACACAGTCCTCCTGTCCTGTATGTAACACAGTCCTCCTGTCCTGTATATAACACAGTCCTCCTGTCCTGTATGTAACACAGTCCTCCTGTCCTGTATGTAACAGTCCTCCTGTCCTGTATGTAACACAGTCCTCCTGTCCTGTATATAACACAGTCCCCCTGTCCTGTATGTGACACAGTCCTCATGTCCTGTATATGACACAGTCCTCCTGTCCTGTATGTGACAGTCCTCCTGTCCTGTATGTGACACAGTCCTCCTGTCCTGTATGTAACACAGTCCTCCTGTCCTGTATATAACACAGTCCCCCTGTCCTGTATGTGACACAGTCCTCATGTCCTGTATATGACACAGTCCTCATGTCCTGTATGAAACACAGTCCTCCTGTCCTGTATGTGACAGTCCTCCTGTCCTGTATGTAACACAGTCCTCCTGTCCTGTATATAACACAGTCCCCCTGTCCTGTATGTGACACAGTCCTCCTGTCCTGTATGTGACACAGTCCTCCTGTCCTGTATATGACACAGTCCTCCTGTCCTGTATGTAACACAGTCCTCCTGTCCTGTATGTAACACAGTCCTCCTGTCCTGTATGTGACACAGTCCTCCTGTCCTGTATGTAACACAGTCCTCATGTCCTGTATATAACAGTCCTCATGTCCTGTATGTGACACAGTCCTCCTGTCCTGTATGTGACACAGTCCTCCTGTCTTGTATGTAACACAGTCCTCCTGTCCTGTATGTAACACGGTCCTCCTGTCCTGTATGTAACACAGTCCTCCTGTCCTGTATATAACACAGTCCTCCTGTCCTGTATATAACAGTCCTCATGTCCTGTATGTGACACAGTCCTCCTGTCCTGTATGTGACACAGTCCTCCTGTCCTGTATGTAACACAGTCCTCCTGTCTTGTATACAACACAGTCCTCCTGTCCTGTATGTAACACAGTCCTCCTGTCCTGTATATGACACAGTCCTCATGTCCTGTATGTAACACAGTCCTCCTGTCCTGTATATAACACAGTCCTCATGTCCTGTATGTAACAGTCCTCATGTCCTGTATGTGACACAGTCCTCCTGTCCTGTATGACACAGTCCTCCTGTCCTGTATGTAACACAGTCCTCCTGTCCTGTATATGACACAGTCCTCCTGTCCTGTATGTAACACAGTCCTCCTGTCCTGTATATGACATAGTCCTCATGTCCTGTATGTTACACAGTCCTCATGTCCTGTATGTAACAGTCCTCATGTCCTGTATGTGACACAGTCCTCCTGTCCTGTATATGACACAGTCCTCCTGTCCTGTATGTAACACAGTCCTCCTGTCCTGTATGTGACACAGTCCTCCTGTCCTGTATATGACACAGTCCTCCTGTCCTGTATGTAACACAGTCCTCCTGTCCTGTATATGACATAGTCCTCCTGTCCTGTATGTTACACAGTCCTCCTATCCTGTATGTAACACAGTCCTCCTGTCCTGTATATGACACAGTCCTCCTGTCCTGTATGTAACACAGTCCTCCTGTCCTGTATGTAACACAGTCCTCCTGTCCTGTATGTAACACAGTCCTCCTGTCCTGTATGTAACACAGTCCTCCTGTCCTGTATGTGACTCAGTCTTTCTGTCGGCTCCAGAGCGCCTGTGTAACATCCTGGAGGAGGACCTGATTCACGAGAAGATCATGCCCTATGTGAAGATCGACATCGGCAATGAGGACATCCTGGAGGCCAGCCTCAAGCTGCTGCACCTGATGTTCAACGATGGTAACAGAGGCAGCCTTGCCATGTGCTTCTTGAATGTTCAGGCAGTAGATTTTGTATTATTTCCTATGTATACATGTTCAATGCCCTTGGAACACTAGGGATCTGGCGTAAAAAAATTATAACGTTCTATCTGAAAAACACTATTTCTATATGCGATTAATAATGCAAGCATGTTTGACAAGATAAAATTATGCTAATACTGAATACATAGCTTGGCACTCAATGGCATAACATAACTTCAGTACCAGAAAGGACAATCAGAAATTTCTTTCCCGAAAACCATGGATAAAGCCAAAAGAGGGAAATGTATCGGTATAATATTAGAACATTTTCCTTGGAGTCTTTTACAAGTTTTTCTACTTTTCCATGCATGTCTCTTGTTACTGGTATAAGCAGGGGATCCCGGTTCGCCCTGATTATGTTTCTAGGTTTGTCAGCACCATACCCGTGCTCTTGGGTTTCACCGAAGTGGTAAACGTCTGAGAACTGCATCACTTGGGGCTTTCCTACCTCATTAAGCTGACACGCCGCAACATAACTGGAATACTGTTAAGGGCGGCGTTAAACCCAACTTACTCACTCACTATAAACAGAATTTGTGAGGCTACAAACGCCTTTTCTGATGGATTCTGACCATCATGTTTTTGTCACTGAGATACTGTGTATTGTCCTCGCCAGCCAAGGTGGTGGCGGCAGCGGTGAAGACGGGGTTCATCAAGGACTCCCTTGTGCCAGTGATGCTGGGGAAGCCTGCCAATGAGACCATACAGGTGGCAGGACTGCACATGTTCAGAATGGCAGGTGAGTGCAAGTACTGCTGCAGCACAACTAATCATCAAGAGTATTCAGAAACCAACATCGTTGGATGATAAAGGACCTTTTTTGCAAACAGCATCTGCATGTTTGAAATGAGCAAACACTTAAATGTACTTACTGGTATTACGTGTATAGCAACACCAAATGTATATATGCTAAAATAAGTCAAAAAGATAATTTTAAATGTTTGTTGTTTAACGCTGCACTTATAAATATTCCAGCTATATGGCGGCGGTCTGTGTAGAGCAGTGTTTTTCTTATATTCAAACATGAGATAGTCTATTGATCAAGTGACAGCCTCTGTGGTCTTGTGGTAGAGCGCCCGCCTGGAGAGCGGAAGGTCCAGGGTTTGATCGCGGCCGGGTCATACCAAAAGACGTGAATAGATGGTACTTGTTGTTACACTGTCTGGCGTGCGGCATTAAGGGGCTAAAACAAGGACTGGTCGGCCCGGAGTCAGTATACTGTGTCTGAGTGGGGTATTCATGTTAAACTGTGGCATGGTATCTCAGTGGGCTAGCACTATATATATTGGCATTAGTGCGGACTAGTACAAGCAGCCACACACAAGTGCATGCTTGTTGCTGTTAAGTGCAATAATCTTGGATGCGACGTTAAAGCCAATTTCACCTCACTTCAAATAGATACCTCTTCTGTGCTGCTTCAGTAAAAGATCTGTAATATACACAGGACAATGTGGACTGTCAGGTCAATTGTCAGTCTCAGTAGGAGTGCTTATAAAGATGACCTACTGAGTGAGTGAGTGAGTTAAGAATCGTCACATTGGCGATATTTCAGCCATGTTGTGATATGACTCACTGATTGGTCTAGGAGTTGTACAGGGGCTGCTTATTATAGCAGGGCACTTAATACGGTGATTACAGTAGATATTGGTGAGGTCAGCTGTCAACTGGTTGGTAAAATTCTTATGACCATTACTTGGCCATTTTTGTTAAAAGGGTAATGAAATTTGGTTTGTGTTCAGTTAGTACTTGGGGGAAAGATGTATGTTCTGTTTTCCCCGATATTTTAATTTTTGGTTTCATTTGACATTTGCACTTTGAACATTTCCTAACACTCCAAACATTATGTACTCAGAAACCACTGGATCAATGAAGCTTAAACTTAACATGATTGTTCACACCAATTCTGATGCCACTGAAATTTATTCAAGAGTTTTTTTATCTGACTCTCAATGTGGTAATTTTCACAGTGGCCCTATTGAAAAATCTATTTATGGCCATTGCTAGGCTATTTGTATTCAAAACCTTATGAACTTTGGTATTTGTTTAATTTATTTTGGGACTCAAGACAAGATTTTACTTTTTGACCTTTTCATGACCATACTTTGTATTCTCTGAAGGAGCTGTACTTGCATATATGTTTCTTCTTATGGTAATATAATATTTTGTTCAAATCATTTGATTTTAGTGTCAGTTTTTAGTCCTCAGTATTTATGCCGAAAATAATTTCATATCAGTGCTGATAGCAAATTTTGTTGAGCATAAAGGTAAGCTACAGTATCCTTGGCACTGTGTCTACACCTTCAGGTGAGAATTTCATGCCTTGTTTCACTAATAGTATAATACTGATAAGAGTGACATAATGATAGTCGCCATACATTATGTGCTACTGTGTTCAAAACTAATATTAATAAATATAAAAATGACTATTTTTTATCTTTTGAAATCAGGAATGAGTTGATAGATGTACTGAAATGTGACTTGATACTTGAATTTGAGGTTAATTTAGTTTACAAGAAAACTTTTACAAGTTCTAAGAGTGGTAATATGTAACAATTTCTGTACAATTGTTTCAGCCGTGGCTTTGTTTGAGGACCATGGCACAATGGACATGGCCTTCCAATGGCTGAAGGTCATCTATATGGGCATGTCCAAACTCATGGACTGTCCGGCAGTGCAGGTCAGTAGAAGCACACATCTACACGGGTAAATCTGAGAATGGTGGTGGATGCACATCCATGATAGCAGAATATGGACTCAAATATCTCCTAAGAGCACACTCATACATAACAGTTTGAGTCACCGAATAAACACAGCAGAATACTTACGTCAACAATAAATACACTTGTGAAAAACAAACATTTGTCTACAGAACATTTAAATGCCTATTACATATAGAGCCAGGTATTGAAACCTTATGGCTAAGAGACCTTGACCCTGACTTGACCTTGACAGTACGTTTCTGGGCAAGAAAAAATGTCAGCTGAAATCCTTACTGACTAAATATGTAAAATAACGCGGACAGTGCACTACCTAGTTACATGGAAAGGAGGAACATCTTCTCTAAATTTGGTGACAGTAATACTTTTTTCATGAAAATTTCACCATTATCTGTGTTTCTCCAGGAAGCCGGTTGTCTGGCTCTGTGTGAGCTGCTGGCATGGAAGTCAGAAGCCTACATGTGGATTGGAGAGAGCTCGGAACTCAAACAGTGAGTATATTGTCCACCATGCAACCTGAACCCTCTGTGTGGGTGCTGTACTCCCTAACATATAGTGTCTGAAGTTATGTGTATGAATACAATATTGAAAAGGGGATGAGTATAGGTTGCTAAAGTTTAGAAGGGGATGAGTATAGAATGATAGAGCTGAGAAGGGAATGCTTATAGGTTGCTAGAGCTGAGAAGGGGATGAGTATAGGTTGCTAGAGCTGAGAAGGGGATGAGTATAGGTTGCTAGAGTTGAAAAGGGGATGAGTATAGGTTGCTAGAGCTGAAAAGGGGATGAGTACAGGTTGCTAGAGCTGAGAAGGGGATGAGTCAAGGATGATAGAGCTGAGAAGGGGATGAGTATAGGTTGCTAGAGCTGAGAAGGGGATGAGTATAGGTTGCTAGAGCTGAAAAGGGGATGAGTACAGGTTGCTAGAGCTGAGAAGGGGATGAGTCAAGGATGATAGAGCTGAAAAGGGGATGAGTACAGGTTGCTAGAGCTGAGAAGGGGATGAGTCAAGGATGATAGAGCTGAAAAGGGGATCAGTACAGGTTGCTAGAGCTGAGAAAGGGATGAGTATAGGTTGCTAGAGCTGAGAAGGGGATGAGTACAGGTTGCTAGAGCTGAGAAGGGGATGAGTATAGGTTGCTAGAGTTGAAAAGGGGATGAGTATAGGTTGCTAGAGCTGAGAAGGGGATGAGTCAAGGATGATAGAGCTGAAAAGGGGATCAGTACAGGTTGCTAGAGCTGAGAAGGGGATGAGTCAAGGATGATAGAGCTGAAAAGGGGATGAGTACAGGTTGCTAGAGCTGAGAAGGGGATGAGTCAAGGATGATAGAGCTGAAAAGGGGATCAGTACAGGTTGCTAGAGCTGAGAAAGGGATGAGTATAGGTTGCTAGAGCTGAAAAGGGGATGAGTATAGGTTGCTAGAGCTGAAAAGGGGATGAGTATAGGTTGCTAGAGCTGAAAAGGGGATGAGTATAGGTTGCTAGAGCTGAAAAGGGGATGAGTATAGGTTGCTAGAGCTGAGAAGGGGATGAGTATAGGTTGCTAGAGCTGAGAAGGGGATGAGTACAGGTTGCTAGAGCTGAGAAGGGGATGAGTACAGGTTGCTAGAGCTGAGAAGGGGATGAGTATAGGTTGCTAGAGCTGAGAAGGGGATGAGTACAGGTTGCTAGAGCTGAGAAGGGGATGAGTACAGGTTGCTAGAGCTGAGAAGGGGATGAGTACAGGTTGCTAGAGCTGAGAAGGGGATGAGTCAAGGATGACAGAGCTGAAAAGGGGATCAGTACAGGTTGCTAGAGCTGAGAAAGGGATGAGTATAGGTTGCTAGAGCTGAAAAGGGGATGAGTATAGAATGATAGAGCTGAGAAGGGGATGAGTATAGGTTGCTAGAGCTGAGAAGGGGATGAGTATAGGCTGCTAGAGCTGAGAAGGGGATGAGTATAGGTTGCTAGAGCTGAGAAGGGGATGAGTATAGGTTGCTAGAGCTGAGAAGGGGATGAGTATAGGTTGCTAGAGCTGAGAAGGAGAAGAGTAAACATTTGAACCCACGGTCATAGGTTTCCGGCAAACAGTCAAGGGACACAACTCTGCACAGTGAATGGTGGTGTCTCACACGACTGTGCTCATGAGGTGAGGTGAAGAGGAGTTGGTGTGTGTGTGATCCTCTGTTTGACTGTTCCAGGGACCCCCTGCACACTCTGTGTCTTGGCGCTGTGTTGATGGGGCGGAGGGAGCTGGCTGTCTTCACTGCAGCATGTAGCGCCTTCTATCATCTCACTGCTGATAATGGTGAATATGTTCAAGATTGTGGCACCCATTACTTCATCCTTGATCATCCATATTATTGTTGCACAAGATGAATTCAACATATTTCTATTCAGTAAATGGTAAACAAGTCATCTGACCATGTTAATACCGCTCCAGTGCAAAGTAATACAAACAAAATTATATTTATCAAGTAATATTGATACATGTTGGTTATATATATATGCATTAAAACAGACCAAACACGAGTGGTCATCAGTTTGGTGCAGTTGATGGAAGGGTGTTCTATTATAAAGAAAAGCAAGTCATTAGTTTTTTAATACTTGTTACTTATCTTAAAGTAAGACCTAAATGTTAGGTTATTACATCAGTGCAAATCTACCAGAACGTAGGATGGTCATAGGGACCGAATTCAAAATATCTAAGTTGACAGATTTTATGTCATTTCCATTCATTTCCATTCCCATAAATCACTGAATTTAAACTGGACCCTTTCTAAAAGAAAAACGATTCGTTTCGTTAAATATTGTAGTAAGGGGCATGTGAAAAAATAATGCAGTATATCTTCCAAGGGATAGCCACAAGAGGATGATGCAGAATCTGGTACCATGGTTTAATTTAAAATTTATGTTACGAACATTGTCCAACTTTAAGAATCCTTTGACTTTTCCAATCGTTTCTACTTTAGTAACCGTATCCGACACAATAAGCGCCCAGGGCGCTCTCAAAATTAGAAATAGGGGGCTCTTATTAGAATATGATTTTGGTGACAAAAAATATAAAACAGAGTTGAAAGATTGTAAAGTTCGTGGTTTATGCTGACAGCCTGAAATGAAATGATGCGTATTATACACGACAGATATATTTTTCAGAATTTAAACGCCCATAATTAAGGGTGCATATATCACATGAGTGTGTATTATACACGAATAAATAAGTCTTGTGTACATTGATCAATCGGAAGGGGTGCTAATTGGCATTGTTCGCTAGCCAATATATTAGCAAATACTGTATTTTCTTGAGTATAGTGCACACTTTTTATAAAAAAAACACAGCTGTGTAGAAGGGGGTGTGCATTATACACAAATTAAGGAGTTTTGATGTTTTTTCCCCCATAGAAAGACATTACTGTGAGCACGTAACACCGGAAATACCATGTCAACAAATCCATACTGAAGTACGCAAATTAGTCATGTAATTACACTGTCTGGCTATAAAAAGTGTTCTTTGTATATCTGGACTTATGTTTGTAACTTATTTTATGAATTTTTTCAAAATTCCTTTTGATATTGTTTTAATTAATTTTGGCGAAATCATGTGTGAAGCGATTGGAAAATCGCACAACTCACCATTATTAACAGCAACCACGGTCAGATTACCGCTATTGACGCCTTGAAACGAACTTTAGTTGACAGGGAATGGATACATATATCATAAATGCCATACTGTGACTCGTTAAAAGTCATATTTGTTTTTGTTGGACGATTCTATGTCAACACGTAATTCTCGCGATCGTGATCACGTGCATGGGAGCCTTGATGGAGACTGGTCAGACTGGTTCCATGTGAAAAATAATACCCGGCTATAGCGATCAGCTGCTTCGCTTAGGGTTATTATTATTTTAAATATGTTTAGTAAAAGCTGCATCTAAATGAACAAGATATTGGAATATATTATTCATGATAAAAAAATAGTTTCAGATACAATTTTTGATGATCCTTGCATTAAAATCCTGTAAAGTTATATCATTGGGTGTGTCTTGACCGAATCACCGGTAGATTCCAAGAAAACGTGTGTACAGCTGATTGGTGTGTCCGGCTTAGTTTACGAGAAAATACACAAGGTAATCTGAATCCCTGGATATAAAACAATGCCTAGCAGAACAAAAAATACAATTTAAACGGTAAATCAACATGTCTGGTGATTTTTTATCTCAAATTTCGAATTTGTACTGACCAAGTTTCTCATCACCCGTTCGTTTGCCGGACTTCGCTAAAGGGGTACGGTGTAATTGTTTTTCAGCACTTGGTACTTGAATTTTTTTTTCTCCAAAATATTGAGTCCGCTAGAGATTGGTGCGCATTATACATGGGTGCACACTATACTCAAGAAAATACGGTATCGCCATGGGTGCTTATTAGAGCGGGGCGCTTATTACGTCAAATACAGTATTCTATCAGGTAACATATTCCAATGATAAATGGTATCTGGTAGGAATGACTTGGCATAGCATCCTGTTCCACATCTTATAGCCTGTATATTAGATTGATTTCTTAATGGGTAATCACTTACAGCAGAGACGTTTTGTGGAATAAGGCCAGAAAGATAATCAGGTGTTACACAGATTCACTATAATCATGTGAAAAATGGGTGCACTTTAACTTCGTTTGAGTGGTATATGTATGCATATCTTACTTTGGGTAAGTGAGCGAATGCTTTTCGCTGCTGTCAACAAGATTCAAGCAATCGCATGGTTTATGTTCCAGACGGACTGTGCAAATGTCTGATGGAGAAGAACGCCCACATCGCTGTCCTGGAGGGTATCGCTGTCCACATCTCAGATCCCTCAGCCATGGCTGCCGCTTGTCGTGCATTACGGGGACTCAGCATTTTCCAGTATGTGGGCATCATGTCAAGTTTATTGAAATAAGATCTTGATGCTTGCTGCCGCTAAACTAAGTTCTGAGGACATCCCATTACACCTTGGCAACATCTATATCGATCAGTGCTACAGTACATTCATTGATTGTGTTTGTTTGAATAGAATGTATGTTTATAACAAGTTAGTTCATTTTTATCTGTTGTGAATGTTTGTTTCAGTGATGAGCACAAACAAGCCATATCAGAACAAGACAAAACACTCGTCTATTTAACCAAAATTCTCAGGACTTTCCAAAACGATGCCAATGTTCAAAGTGAAGCAATTAGCACTGTAGCTTGTCTAGCAGATGTGGGTGAGTATGCATATTTAAGTCATGTTGTGTTTGTTGTTTAACGCCACACTTGGCAATATTCCAGCTATGACGACGTCAGTAAATAATCATCAAAAGTCATCCATTATGTTGCCAGTCTTAAGAAAAGCCTAGCTCTCTTACCTGGAATCCCACAGAGCTGAATGCCTGTTGCGGGTTCAAATAGATAAATTCATACGTGTATGTGCAGGACGTGTGTTTAACCTTTGGCAATGTCACTCTTACACATAGATCCAGACTAGGATTACCTTGAGTTACAAAAGTGGAGGCCCATGGGGAATAATTAATTTTTAGTGTCCTTGCAGGCAATATGTAGTGTACTGTACATTTAGATAATTACTTCAGAGCCTGGAATGAATCAATGATCATATGGACAATGGTCATGATCGATGGATGAAATGACCGACACCCATAACTGCACTTGATGCACTGTATAGGTACAATGAATATTATTGTGCATCTCTCTGGACTCAGTATATTTTTTTCTGCGTCCAGCCTCAACATTTGTGCATACTGGACTCACATTAGTGCGTCGCGTAAAACTTTGGCTCCATATATACTGTGTATCCTTGTAAAATACAAAAAAAATAGATTTGTGTTGTTTGCGTAAAAAATAGTACAACACAGTGCGTACTTACCCAATGTATCTTTTTCAGCTTGGCTAGCTGTATTTCCTTATGTATGTATTACTGATAGAATGCAGGCATCACATTGATGACCTCTGCTACAATAAAAAAAGGAGCTACTACTGTATTGTAACTACGACCATCTTGTGTGTATTTTTTATCTTGTTTCGAGTGGAACATTAGTAGAGTGTTTATTTAGCAATGTGACACACAATGTACCTGGCGCCTTGTTTACAGGTTGCTCTGTAGTTTCTATGCTGTTGATGGTTATTAATTTTTTGGGTTGTTTTTTTCAGATGTGTTTAGACATCTTTGTTTTCTGAAAAAAATCCATAAAAAAATCCTTGTTGCCATGGAGATGTTTCCTGCTAATGAAATCCTCCAAGAGGCTTGCATTGAAGCACTGGCAGTTCTGGGTGGCGCAGGTATGTTATCCCATTAGATAACCAGTAACGCCTTCTACATATTCCACAGACATATTTATACACCCAAGAACCGACGTAATCTTTCTGGCATTCCAGTGCCGTAGGTTAGCCGTGGTTCAAGAGTTTGCTTGTCACGCTGAAAGCCAGTGTTCGATTCTCAAGATTTAATTCTTATTGTTTTAACTTGTAGTTATTTAAAAAAAAGATAGGTACTCATATATTTATACGAAGGGATTTTCCCGCATTTTTATGATAAGGGTGTTAATTTGGTGATGTACACATACCACTCAACTTTTGATAGGGATTATCAGATATATCATTCTATTCAAATATATACTTGACATAGTATGAAAATCAGTTATGTTTATCATGGAAAGATAAAAATATCCCTATCAAAAGTTGAATAGTAGACTTAACAAGTGTAGCTAGGGAAATACAGTGCAAAGTAATCACCTTCTTTGTTTTAAATTGATAGATAGATTAAATCATTTTGATTTTGTAAGTGCATATTTAAAAACGTTAAATTCTCTGAATACAACCCCCAAACATCCTGATGCTGTGACAGATTGGAAGCTGTTGTTCTACTTCCCCTACTGAGTCTCTCCTTGAGAAAAACGGTTTCTCATCATCAAGCATTTAGAACATGCAGTTGGGATATTTATCTCACCTGAGTGAAAGTTAGACCATATGTTGACCGTGCTCTTATATTCTCACAAGAGACGTATTTGGCTCTGTAAACTTATTCTCCCCGAGTGGTTCTAAACTTTGGCATGTTTATCATTATAACGACATCAAATTTTGTACAAATCATAAGATTTTTCTGTTAGTGTCAAATACACATCAGTATTTATGTAGAATTTTTTGAATATCAATGCTGACAGCAACACTTTTACATGTACAGGTGAGCTACAGTGCCTGTGGCACTACTTCTTTTTTTCAGGCACTTTCAAATAATGACAAATCTTTTCAGGCAATTTTAAATAATGCCAAATTTCCCAGGTAGTTTCATTACAAGTACTGCAGTGTGTTTAGCCTTGTGAATCTGTCTGTGAATATTGCGTTGTCTCTCATTTCCAGCAAGTGGAGCTGACATCCTGAACTCTCTGGAGGTTGTGCAGAAAGTGTTCCGATGTCTCAAGAAATACTCCAAGAATGATAGTAGGTGGAATGACATATTTCGCTGTAGACAAACTCCTATGTCTGTTGATGGCATGTAAATGCTGATATTTGTTGAATATGATGCGGATAATAAGCTTTTCTGAGTAATTATTTCCATAATATTTGGCCTGTGTCATGACTTGGTGAATCACTGTGGCCATGTGGATATGTGTACAGCTTGTGATCAGAATGGCTTGAATACAGGAATCCTGTGGCAGCTGGAGCACATCCAATTTCATACATGCTGTATTCGCTATATTTACCACCCTGCTCCAATAAGCAACCCTGACCAAATTCTACACCAATCTATAAGGAATCTTTATAAACACCCGAAAAATATGTCCATATGTTCTTGTGTACATTAACACTCAATCTGCAACTACAAGTTCAACTTATTGTGTACGGTTTGTGATTATCTAATGTATGTCTCCATTCTATTTTTGAATATCATGACCTGTTCGCCAAGTGATGTCACTGCATTTTTCTTGTCATCGACTTGAGTAGTATTTCCCACTCGTGAGTTCTCAAAGTCAATAACCAATATAAATGACACTTCTGAATGAGACTTCTGCATAGATCTAATTTCAAAACAGAGACAAGCAAATCTTCACACATTTGATCGAACCAGAATTCTCTTATCAATAATTTTTTAGGTAAAAATATTTTGTGAGTATTAAGACACGGGGATGTGGCATTCCCAGGTGTAATGGAGGCAGCATGCGACAAGAATAGTCAAGTACTAGAGATTTATTTTGCCGCTGGGTTCGATTATGAAGGAAAAGGGTTTTTCGATTAGTCGACTATTTTGGGCATCAATTCGGTCACTTTAACAGGATTCAAAAGAAGGCCATTGTTGTGAATGGGTCCTGGGTATTTGTCCAAGTAGATTGGAGATACAATACCCTGCATGACTGAGGATGATGAAAGCATTCAGTGACCCTCCTCATCCCTGGTTCCAGATATCCAGAAGAAGGCACTCATCTTGGTTCAGATCTTGGCGGACACCAAGCTGGTGTCATCCCTAGTGATGTGTGAGACGTTGGCAGACGCCATCAGCAGCGTCATGGCCGGACACCCAGACAACATCAGCATCCAGAGAGAGGTACACTTATCACCTCAATATTCTAGGCAACAAATGCTCCCTAATCGTATTAGCTTCATTTGTTTGTTGTTGTTGGCAGGATATTCATGTTGACCAAGATTTGCATAAATTCTGTTTTTATTCCACAGTCCACATTCCAGCAAGATCATGCATTGTGGCCACTGAATACCCACTTCAGTTGGCCTTCTTGGCATGCATGGCGTACTGGTGAAATATGTGACCCACATGTTCTCTGTCGAGTCAGTTAACCAACTGCATTACACATTTGATTATAATTTAGGTAACGAAATGATAATTGTATGAAACAATATTGAAAAATTTGTGGGAAAATGATTGAGTTTCGGAGTCAATGATGCCTATTTTCAAATGACTTATTTTCGTTAAACTGAGTGCACTTTGTATTCCAAGTTGTTTGTTATCTTAATTGCACCTGATTTTGTAGTTTTTTAATTTTGTTTTCTTCCATTTCGAAAGAACAAATAATAAGCCAACATAAAACATACGGTTTGGGCATCCAATGACACTCCGGAGGCAATTAAACATTTGAGAATAAATATTTTGAAGAGGCAACTCATAAGATAGACGAGAAAAGGGAAATAAATGCTGACTCATTCACTCCCAAATTTAAAGACTTCATTGTGACAACCAACAACATTTTGTCTTTCTTCTTGACTCAATGGAGCTTTTTCATTGTGACGATAATTGTTGCTAATCGGCATCCTGTGACGCTAATCAGCATCCTATCTTCCATAGGCTGTGGTTGCGATGCAGATTCTGGCCGAGAAAAGCCAGCGTATGAGTGAAGTCCTTGTCACCAGAGATTGTCATGAGGTTCTATTTCGCATTCTGGAAAACTTCGATGCCGACCAAGGTAAGTGACCGACCATACAATACTTTTGTGGGTGGGACTAGGGCTATTAATGGATCCCTGCTACAAGACATGCAGTGTTGTTGTGACGTGGGAAGATCCAGGTTAGAATAGGTCTGCAGCAACCAATACTTGCTGTAACAGGCGACTTCGCTTGTTGTAAGAGGCGACTACGCTTGCTGTAACAGACGACTACGCTTGTTGTAAGAGGCCACTAACAGGATCAGGATCAGTGGGTCATCTTCGAAAGGACTCTCTCCCATAGTCACAGTGGTGTGAGGGATATAATTCCCCATTCAATCATGTATTTCACTGCACACCGTTCCTTGGTCTAAAACTTCATGACTCCCATTGCTCCAACCAGATGACATCCATTATGGTGACATCACAGGTTCACATGATGAACTGTTTCTCATGTATTATTTGACGTTCAGCTTTATATTTGTCAGCATGTGGTCAGTATGTACCACACGTCAGAAACTCTTCCACACTCGCTGTAACATTGCCACTGATGTTGCTGGACTTTTTGAACACATGATTATTATCCCCCGCCGCGCGAAAGCGCGAAGCGGGGGATATAGTATTCACGACCGTCCGTCCGTCCGTCCGTCCGTACGTCCGTACGTCCCACCTGTTTGTTGCCGCGATATCTCAAGAACTAAACACTGGATTGTCTTCATATTTGGAACTATGGTGTATATACAGACTCCGCATACACCAGTCGGTTTTGGTGACCTTGATCCCATTTTCAAGGTCACAGCAGACAAATCTGTTTTTAGAGTTGGAAAACGGTGTTGCCGCGATATCTCAAGAACTAAACTCTGGATTGTCTTCATATTTGGAACTATGGTGTATATACAGACTCCGCAGACACCAGTCGGTTTTGGTGACCTTGATCCCATTTTCAAGGTCACAGCAGGCAAATCTGCTTTTGGAGTTAGAAAACGGTGTTGCCGCGATATCTCAAGAACTAAACACTGGATTGTCTTCATATTTGGAACTATGGTGTATATACAGACTCCGCAGACACCAGTCGGTTTTGGTGACCTTGATCCCATTTTCAAGGTCACAGCAGGCAAATCTGCTTTTAGAGTTGGAAAACGGTGTTGCCGCGATATCTCAAGAACTAAACACTGGATTGTCTTCATATTTGGAACTATGGTGTATATACAGACTCCGCAGACACCAGTCGGTTTTGGTGACCTTGATCCCATTTTCAAGGTCACAGCAGGCAAATCTGCTTTTGGAGTTGGAAAACGGTGTTGCCGCGATATCTCAAGAACTAAACACTGGATTGTCTTCATATTTGGAACTATGGTGTATATACAGACACCGCAGACACCAGTCGGTTTTGGTGACCTTGACCCCATTTTCAAGGTCACAGCAGGCAAATCTGCTTTTGGAGTTAGAAAACGGTGTTGCCGCGATATCTCAAGAACTAATCGCTGGATTGTCTTCATATTTGGAACTATGGTGTATATACAGACACCGCATACACCTGTCAGATTTGGTGACCTTGATCCCATTTTCAAGGTCACAGCAGGCAAATCTGCTTTTGGAGTTGGAAAACGGTGTTGCCACAATATCTCAAGAACTAATCGCTGGATTGTCTTCATATTTTGTACTATGGTGTACAGGCGGGGGATATTTCGTCACTCTGTGACAAATACTTGTTAATTTTTTGTTTTCATGTAGATAATTGGGTGGCTTCTTTTGTGAGCATTTCATTTTTTGTCAACAAAATTAATGGGATTTCTTGAAGGCATGTTTTTCAGATAGATGAGGCCCCAAGAAGTAATAATATGCATGTGATTTATTCGGGGACTTTGATGAGTGGAATGCTTGTAACATTAAAGTTGTTTTTACAGGTTTACATGATCTGGCAAGTGAGTGCTTGTACGTCATTGGTTGTGTGCAGAATTTCAAATCAAGGATGTTACTCTGTGCTTGCAAAAATGGATTCTTAGCTGTAAGTTTGACACTGAAATACAAACTTAAGAATGTCTCCCAATCTGAAGAATCCAAAATAATTTTGTCCGTTTGCGATCTCATTAAATTCAGATCTTATTTCTCACCACTGCTAAACAGAAATCTGAGGACATCCTATTATGGTTCACATCAGAATGAGCTTTTGCAAACTTTGACCGACCAAGGAAATGACTAGCAAGAAGTGGACATTTTACAGCTCCAGTTTCAAACTGGCAGCGTCCATTCCAGACTATGCTTTGACAAATGTTTTGACAAAGTTCTGTATTCAAAATTTGAAAAGTGAACAAAAGAAAATTCGGGAAATGTGTAATAGATAGCGGAGATTGTATGGCAGTAGTTCCCACTTGCTATGGAAAGACTCTTCTGTTTATCCATCTGAAGTTAGAGATAGATGAGGATTTTGATGGAAGTAGTCATACATCCCGTCCATAACTGTTCACATTTTTGAGGTTGCATGATTAGAAAACACATTCTGACTGTCACTTTCCCAGTTTGATCTGATTGGACAGATAAAGGTCATACAGACTTGAACCGTAATTGGATGTCCTCAGATCTTTGTTGAGCAGTAGTGAGACCTAAGATCTGATTTTTATGAAATTGGGCCATTTGTAAATTGGGTTGAAACCTTGTATTTTCTAGATTTATCTTGACTGATGATGTTAAACATGTTAAATATCCATTTTTAGGTATCTCATTCACAATGGAGTACATGCATCCTGACATCTCAATTTCATTAGTTTGTTATAATACTTTATCATGCAAGCAGTTTTAAATAAGTGAAGTTCTGTGTTGTGTGTTCACTGAAGGATATGTTCATCCAATATACCATACATCCTGTCCATGCAGGGTGTGGAATGTCTGATGGTGATCGGTGCAGACGTCAACACAGGTCAAGGTCAGGGTACCCCACTGTACCATTCTGTTGAAAACGGAGATGAGAAGATGGTGCGGTATCTCCTGCAGCAGGTCAGTCCATTATCCTTCATCCACGGGGGTCTGACATGTAGCATCCTCTCGGGATACCACATGTATCTAGAAAACTACGTTGCAATATGACATGGTACGATTGAAACGCTGTATTCTATCATGGCAAGATTTGATACTAAACACTGTGCAATATATTTCATACCGTGACATGTCCTTGTTTTGTAATTTGTAATTTTACGGAATACACAAGCTTGTGATACAATATTCCAAGGGTATTCCAAATGACAGTTACGGGCTTTCCGTCAAAATCATCATCTATCTCTTGCATAAATGGGATAAATATTTCAAACAGAAGAGAAATCCGTAGCCAAAGAGAATTGCTGCCATACAATCCTGGCCATCCATAATATACTCAACAACAAAAGTTCCTGTGACACCAATATTTTAGTGTATTTTTCTAACAAGTAAAGTTTGGTTTTCAGTATTGTAGTACATGTATGGAATCAAGTCACAAAAAAGCAACTGCAACTGCATCCCATGCAAAAGTTGACTTTTATGCAAGCCCCATGTATTTCATCACCCAAGAATGGGTATAACAACATGTGCCGTAACGGGATTCCATATGCATTGTTTAGCATCGTGCTGACAACAAACACTCTGAAAAACAGCAAAATTATGCAATTATTCAACATCACAAAATGCTACGCCTATCCGAAAATGAGCATCTGCGAGCCATTCGTATGCTTGAAGCAGGATTGAGTCAACGTGATGTTGCAAGACAATTTAACGTCCACAGAAACACCATTTGGTGTTTATGGCAACGTTGGCAACAGACGAATGCAGTCAGAGACCATCTTCGGAGTGGCAGGCCACGAGTAACCAATAATCGACAAGACAACTGGATTCGAAAAACACACCTACGTAATCAATTCCAGCCAGCAACAGTGACTGCAAGAAGCATCCCTGGCCTTCAACGAAGATCTTCACAAACTGTATGTCGCTGCCTCAGATGTGCAGGGGTTGTTGCCAGGAAACCACCGTCAAGCACGTCTACAGTGGTGCAGACAGCGTCTACGGTGGACAGCCATGCAGTGGGGACAAGTTCTGTTCACTGACAGATTTGAGTGTTCCGACGTCGAGGTGAACGTTACGTCAATCATTGTGTCATGGAAGAAGATCGGTTCGGGGGCGGCAGTGTTATGGTATGGGGTGGGATTACAGCAAGACAGAGGACCTGTTTGATAGTGAGGGAAATCTCAATGGACAGCTCTACCACGACGAGATCATCGGCCCTGTTCTACCGCTGTTGCGTCGTCATGGCCCAGGCATTACCTTTCAACATGACAACGCCCGGCCTCATATTGCTCAACTTGTTCAGGATTCTCTTCTACAAAACAACATGAATGTCATCCCCTGGCTGGCTCGCTCCCCTGATCTCTCACCAATCAGCACATGTGAGATGAGATGGATCGGCACCTTTGACGTCAAACACGTCTTCCACAGACACTCCAGGAACTTGGAAACATGCTCCAGCAGATATGGACAGATATCCCACAGGACTTTGTGCAACGCCTGGTTCATTCCATGAGTTGAAGATGGTGGACACACACGCTATTGATTTGTAAATTGACATTTTGGCATGTTCATGTTTTTTATGAAATCATGCATTTTCTGAAGTCAGTATGGCAAATTAAACCATTTGAACACTTACAGGAGTCTTTTATCTGTTGCAAACCGAAATTGTTTCAGATTTGGTAAAAAACATAACTTTGCATTAAATCTTATTCAATGTCACAGGAACTTTTGTTGTTCAGTATACATTCCAGAATTCCCTTGTTCAGTTGTCACATTTTAAATCAAATTAGAATGGAAGTCACCAGTTTGAAACTAGTGCCTTAAAAGCTTGAGAAAGCTGCTCTCTGATAGGCCAATATCAACTTTAGTCATTCAAAGGTCAGGGGCGGTCGGGTAGCCTCGTGGTTAAAGCGTTTGCTCGTCACGCCGAAGACCCGGATTCGATTCCTGACATGGGTACAATGTGTGAAGCCTATTTCTGGTGTCCCCCGCCGTGATATTGCTGGAATATTGCTAAAAGCGGCGTAAAGCCATACTCACTCACTCACTCACTCATTCAAAGGTCACGAAATGTCGTTCAGAGGTGACCTGTAATGGAATGTCCTCAAATGTTTGTTTAGCGGTAGCGGGAACTAAGAACGATTTTAATGAGATTGGGATCGCAATCCTTTCTGCAGTTTCTCAAACAAAAGCTTGTTTCCTCCCCAGTCTGTCACGGATGTCCAGACTTCCCTGAATCTGAGCATCACAAAGCATCAGCACAACATCACAGGGATGCTGCTGGCACACATAGGACAGGACAAGGATGGTCTGTTCTCCTTCTTGGCTCCAGATTTTTCCGTTTCCTGCCTTAGCCATGGAAATAACATCTTGCAAAGTGAAATGATCATGATGTTACGCTTAAAAAAGTAATAGTGTTGGTTCTCAGGCATCCCCAGCATCATAGTAAAATCTGCTGCACTTTTTATTTTTATTTCATTTTTTTTTTTTTTTAAATCTTTAAATATTCTGCGTATCAAACGCATGACCCTGGCAGTGAAATGCTACAATACTTAAGAACAACATAATTTTGCCAATATTATTGTGAACAAAATTTGGTTACATACAAGCTTGAACATCCAAACAAAAAAAAACACTGCCCGCACTATATTTTCAAAAGCCAGAGAACAATTCTTTTATTTTTTAAGCCTTAAATTTCACGTGTTTTTCAGAGTAAATGTAAGTATTGCCACAAATGCCCTCAGAGCTTTCAACCCCTCAAATTTGCAAGTTGTGGGAGATAAGAATTAGCCATTGTCGAGGTTTTGTGAGATAATATTTTCGGCAATTACAAACACCTTAAATGGACAGCTCTGTATAATGAGCTCCAACATGCTGTAATGCAGGTCAGAAAGTCATGTTTGTAATGTTTTCACTGCTGATAAATAAATACAGTTGACAGGAAACTATCCTGGCCCACTGCACAACTGATTTATTCAGGGCAGGAATACATTCAGAATAGTCTTGCGACACTTCATTCCATGATAGTGGGCATCTCAAAACAAGATACACATAAACTGGAGATAAACAATAAATGTGAGAGCAAATAGGATTGATACTGTTGTGTCTTTGTGTGACATCACTTTTATCACTGAAGCTTAAGTCTTATTTAAAATGTGTGAAACTGACTGATTAGTCCTGCACCATGACCGTGGAATATATTTATTTCATGAAAAAGAAAATCTAGAAACGCATACAAAAGCAAGTCTAGCCAGCTCAAGCTAGCTCTGAAATCAGCATAGGGAATTTTTTTTTATTTTTAGAGTCAAGAAGGTGTTGTGTAATATAAGATTTCAGAGACTAAATGTTAGTCTACTGACTGATATGTGCTCTCTTTTGAAGTAATAGGCACAATATAGGCCAATCGTAGTGCCGCAACCTAGGCCCATCTTCCAGCCCTAGCACCCATAATATTTCTTATGGTTGAGGGAAGTTGGTTGTCTCACAGCTTAAAACCCATTCTTCCATTTGCAAAAAAAGCTTCAATATCAATGAGCCTTGCTCATCTTTAGCTGATAACTTTCTTTACGGAGTTAGTTCCCTTTAGTGACTCTGTTCTTTCAGTCCGTTGACAGGCACACTTAATGTGTTCCCTGTCCAGTTTTCCACTCTAGATTTGAGGTGGTAGGATAGCCTAGTGGTAAAGTGTTTGCTTGTCACACCGAAGGTTTAATTCAGGACAGTGTGGATTGTTGCTCAACGTTTACAGTGTGCAAGCCCATTCCCAGTGTCCACTGACTTTATATTGCTGGAGACCCGTGAAGACCCGGGGTAGAATAGGTCTACAGCAATCCATGCTTGCTGTAAAAAGCACTCTATGCTTGTCGTAAGAGGCGACTAACGGGATCGAGTGGTCAGGCTTGCTGACTTGGTTGATGCATGTCATTGTATCCCAAAAGTGTTGATCGATGCTCATGATGTCAATCACTGGATTGTTTGGTCCAGACTCAATTATTTACAGACCGCCACCATATAGCTGGAATATTGCTGAGTGCGGTGTTAAACAACAAACAAACAAACAAGTATATTGCTGGATTATTGCTAAGAGCACCGTAAAACCTCTCACTCACTCACTTCCACATTGAATTTTCTACAAATGGGGTACTGCAAGGTTGCTTGGCAACACTGACAATTGACTTCATACCATATTTTGAAAAAGCTGTTTACAAAAGCAGGCAAACATTTTGAGATTTTTGCAGTTGTGACACCACCATGTTTTAAATGAATTGTCTAGTAATATCTACAGTACTTGTAATAGGTGAATCCTCTGTTTTTTCAGCTGGCACTGTGTTATGGAATGGTTATGGCCTTGGTGACCTCCGACCTGAATGGTTCCTGCCATCACTAGCCAGAGCCAAAGAACGTTCTCTCCCATCAGGTAGGCTTCAGTTCTTTGTTAGCTGGTACACCAGATGCACTTCATTGAGGGGGCGGTCAGATAGCCTAGTGGTTAAAGCGTTCGCTTGTCATGCCGAAGACCCTGGTTCGATTCCCGACATGGGTACAATGTGTGAAGCCCATTTCTGGTGTCCCACGCTGTGATATTGATGGAATATTGCTAAAAGCAGCGTAAACCATACTCACTCACTCACTTCAGTAGAGATGTGTCAATGACCATCTCCTCTTTTCCATTCTGTTATGATAAGGCCTTTTGTTTATTTTTAGTTGGTTTACCAAACAATGTGCCTAAATTTTAATGTAGGTGGTTGACGTTTGTGTAAAAATAACATTCAACTTTCAGATTAGTACTGCTACTTATGAATGAGAAACAAACTTGCGGAAGTATGATTGCAAAACAATACTGAAACATTATTGATTGTTAAAGATTTTTATATGTATTATTCACAGTTTCTTACGAACAGAGTTGATATAATATCATATCTTTTTCTATTTTCTTAATTGTAAAACAGTGTTGGACAAAACTATAATTGTTTTTATTATAACTATAATTTGTTCTAATTTCAAGTTGGTTTTTTTATGGGTCAGTCTCGTAAACCAACTAAAAGGCCTAAATACCCCTGACACATTTGCAACCATAGATGTTTGGAACAGCGTCAAGAATAGCAATCCAATCAAATTTCACTGCTCTTCCATGATTTAAACATGTGGTGAGATCACCAGACCTCAACTCATCTTGTTGAGTAAAGTCTCACATAAAACTTGGAAAGATAGACAGCATCTTTTTCAGGTTAAAGTTCATTTTTAACATTTATAGGATTGTTTCACTTTCCAGGGCTCATTCGTAGCAGGTTGTCCTTTTGAATGTACATCTGTGTGGAATTCATCTTCAGAAAAGTCATTTTTATTGGTTGTTGATTTCAAGATCATGAACAATGCAATATTAGTTGTAAGAAAGATTGAGATTGTGATGTCAGTTCTGAAAGTCTTGTACCGTGATGTGTAAAGGGATGTCCGCAGATCTTTGTGTTGTGGTAGTGAGCACTAAGGTCTAATTTAGATGAGATTGCGGTTTTCTCCAATTAATAATATGCAGCCACTTGCCGACTTGTCTTGCATCAAAATACATGACTGTGTACTCGCGGGCAGATCACTATGTTGGATTAACGAGACTGATTTATGAGTGATTTCAGCTATCCTTTGCAAATTAGGTGTATCGGTCACAGGTCTAAATGGCACTGATTGAATTGGTTCCCATCTTTAGTTTCAGATAAAGGCTATCTTTATATTAATGAGTGTCATATTAACAAGATTTACAGTATGTGCAAATGTGTTTGTACGGTAGTATCTATAATGTTTGCTGTTGTTGGTAATATAAACATACAGATGCTCCATGTGCCACCTTTTTATGCTTTCTTGAACCTGCGAACAGCCATCTGTCAGGGGATGCCACGACTGTTTGTTGATTTCAATACATTCATCATGCTGTCATCTGTCAATAGTTTGACTGTAGCCATGGCAAAATTTATTTAGATACATGTATAAAACATAGTCAGAGAGAAATGCGAACATTAGTGACTTGTTGTGTAACCGTGGAGTTTTAGTCATACTCAGGACCTACCCGACCCGAGTACCCGAGTTACCCGTCCCAGCCCTATGTTGTACCCTTGGCACAGACACATCATCAACCCCGTACACGGATCACCATCTTCCCGAGGTAAGGGAGTTAACTGACTGTCCAGCTCCACCCTCTGATACGCTTGTGACAAGGTGTATATATGCAAGCTTTGAACCAGACTGATTAGAATTTAAACTTTCTTCTTAAACTTAGCACTATCGGCAGTTGAAAAGAGGTTAGGAAATTTGGTAATTAACTTCTGCATGGTGAGATATGTACAGATAATGAAAGAAGCTGTTTGACAAACTCTTTATTGATCTAATAATACAGGTGAAAACTTCACAACAACCTGGTACATGATTAGCAACTTGGGGAAACATTGTATTTCACAATGAAAGGAAAACAATCTTTTTTTATTATATAGACCAACATGAAACTAACAATTACTTTTGGACAAAGCACTTGGACAACACAGTAGAGATTTCTATCAAATCTACTCTGTCATAAGTTGGAAAAGATGAACAAATATATTGAAAAAGTTAAAGGTTTTATGATCCGATCATAAGTGAAACAACTTTTTAAACTTCAGAGCAGTAAAAAATTCTTTCACTTTGGTCCTTCTCACAGATTGGAATAACTATATTCTGTAGTGGCATACAATATACAGCGCTTAGGAATGGTTTCATGGCGCCAGTCTATGGAAATGAGAGATCACTTATTGCTTTCAAAAACTAAAATAAACATTTATATGTGAAATGCTCCATTTACAATGAAACCTGGTTTCTAGAACTGGACAGTGAATTTCACTTACTAATAATATTATTGCACATTATTACGCTCCACTGGACAACGCCAATGCCTGACGATGTTTGTTTAGTTGGTCATTAAAGAACAGGTAGCATTTAATCACAGTGGATTATGATGTCGTTTTGAATGATAGATTTGGCTACTTTTCCGATTTTAATTAGGCATTAAATGTCAATAAGAAATAAATCCAGAATGTTTGGCCAATATCAAAACAACACAAAGGAATGGAGGCTGTCACGTGGCTGAAATGTGGTGTTGTGCAACACTGTGGTCAGCTATGACAGCAAGATTGTGGAACAACCACATGTAAATATACAATTACAACCTTGAACCAATAACAACATTGAAGGTTGGCACAAGAAGATTAATTCCCTGACCACCTGTCATCCAAACATGTTATATGTGAACCATGTGAAAGTCCAACTTATCAAGAATACACAGTCAATCACAGAGGTGAAACCATCTTCCTGAGGCAAGGGAGGTAACTGACTTTAAAAGTCCAGTTTCAACCAGGGGTCCGGAAAATTTAAAATCCCAATCGGACATTTGCATTTAGGCCACGCCCCCTGCAAATAGCGTATTTTAGTACGACTTTTTACACACACATTACAAGTTGTTACGTATTCATAATATGATGAATTATGAATTGTTTCAATTTAAATTGTTTAATTCACCGGACAATTAATAACAAATAATATCATTTTAGATATATATGGAAAACATACGTTTGTTTCTGTTATAATAACGATCTGTTAACGTAGTGAACGGTCTAATTAATATTCATGAGTCTGCTCAAGTGTACGCATTGTAACATTTGGATCGAGACTATTATCCCATATTTGGTTATCACGTGACCTCACGGGAAAAGTTTTTTTTAAACTAAAGATTATTTAAAAACAAGACAGATAATATAATCATAAATACTAAAATATCGTTGATAGCAATAGTTATTTGAATTCTTTTTTCATCTGTTCTTAATTATTGACCATAAAAAAAATTGATATCGATCGTCACAGAAAGCAAAATGGCGGTCAATCAAGATTTAATATACGACTAGCTACTGAAAACAATAAAATCTGCAAATCCTCATTGTATGTCAACCAAGTGAAAGTCGTTAGCCACGACTTACAAAATGATCACGTCCGGTCAAAATTTAAGAATGTCCGGACAATACTTTTTAAAATGTCCGGACAGAAAAATTTAAATGTCCGGTAAGCAATATTTTAAACCGGACATTTGAGATTCCCAATCGGACATGTCCGGCGCATATGACGGTTTCCGGACCCCTGGTTTAAACCCTTGTTAGTAGGCTGGTATTAGGGAGTTACATTTTGGCTGGACTAACGAGTCTAAGCATAGTCCAATCAAAATCGCGCAACAAAATCGAAATCCGGTTCGTAAACTGCCGGGCAGATTTCGGTCGATTAAATTGCAGGATTTGCAAAGCATGTGCACCGCCATCTCGTTGTCAACAGATATTTTCCTCATCTTTTCATGTTTTTAATCAAGGTGCTCACATGATTTGAACACTTCGGGATGTAAAACCTGTTTTATTACAATATAGATCTTGATTATAGATCAGATCGTCCTGAATGGGCGCCGCCATTTTGTTTTAAACAAATGCAAGTGATACAAGAGGTAGAATCTGATTGCTCCATAGGAGAGGCATGGAAGGGACATAATTCGTAATATCCACTGGTGGGGCTATGATCGGGACCAGGAATTCCAGCCTAGTTCGGCAAGGGTGGAAACTGAACTTTTGTGGTCAGTTAACTCCCTTGCCTCAGGAAGATGAGGTGAAACTGGATCAGCATTGAGGGAACCATCATGAACCTGCTAGACGAAGACAGTATGTGGCAGTGGATCAGGGTCTTAGACAGGAAAAGGCTAAACTTTTGAACAATGACGTATCTCTGATGGACTATACCGGTGGAGTTGCACATCTTCTAGGAGAGTATGCTTGACTTTAATCAATCCTGTCATGAACAATGAAGTGTCTGTGTCGAATACTTGTTGACAACATTATGCTTGTGGTGATAAGTGAGGCCTAATATTTGTTGACAGCCTTTTTACTCACGTATAAGTGCTAAGATAGATAAATAAATGATGCAATAAAATACATTTGTGCATAATATTGTGCACCCCTATCAAGAGTAATATTTGTTGATCAACATACCTACTTTGTCTAACCAGCAAAGTCACTCTTCCATGACTATGCATAGGTTGTCTTATTGCTACTGTTTACCTGTTTTTAAAAATTAGACAAAGCAGGTTGATACCAAATATACATTTTCTACCCCTGAACACCTGCACACATCCAATAGTAAAACAAACTTACAACATAAAGTAAAAAAGTAATGTCTTTGAATTATCATTGTAATATTGTCACACCAAATCCTAATGTCTTTAATTATCATTGTAATATTGTCACACCAAATCCTAATGTCTTTAATTATCATTGTAAAATTGTCACACCAAATCCTAATGTCTTTAATTATCATTGTAATGTTGTCACACCAAATCCTAATGTCTTTAATTATCATTGTAATGTTGTC